GGTACTAGTACAAGGGGTCTCGTTATCCTAAAGATAGGTGAAACACACCGGAGCTTAGCTGCTGTGAGCCAGGTCATTGGCGAGCTAAGAAAAGCATAGGTGAAATACCTGAAATATGAAATGAGAACCAAAGTCCTGGATCGCAGATCCTGGATTTAGAGTTTGAGAACCCTAGAAGCTGTCCTTGGTCACATAGTGACTGATATCACCTGACCGTGATTGGGCGTCTCTTTTAGGCGCTTGTTCATGGGGATCACGTGACCATGAGCGACGGTACGTTTCATAACAGACAGGCAATTCCCTCTCCTGTCAGGCAATGTCAGGTAATGCCAGGTGAGGCCCAGGGAATGCCGGGCAATTTCCATCAGCTCAGGTAATGCAGGAAACCCATTGTCCAGATAGATACATTATTCACCATACAGCTTCCATTAGAATAAACTCGATTTAATACATATTTTATTCATAATTATTACAGTAAATGCAGCAGTCATACATGCATGGAAAGAAATTTGCGATCTGTTACAAAACAGAGGTATTGGAATGAAAGGGTATGATATGCAGTACCGAGCAAAAGATTCACAAACGAGTGAGAAAGCGGACCTGTGAGCATGCAATAGAGAAAGTATAAAGGATTGATGGTGAAATCGACGCTAGTAACATAACAGTGAGCCCACAGACTCGACGGGGAAAGACAGACAACACGTACGATTTTAATCCAGTTCCTCAAGCTCTGAGGCTTGTACTCGCATCGATGGGCTCTTCAATCTCTGATCTACCATCCTCGCTTAACAGAGGAGGAGTGGCAACCTGCGTCATGGCATGTCTCACAGCATGCTGCTGTGCGAGGAGATCCAGCGAAGATGGGCCCACATATAGTTGAGCTGAGTCCTCACTGCTTGGGCGAGGTCCCTTTCCAAATACTTCACTATGAAGAAAATATGTCAGTAACAGGTGAAGCTAATAATGGGCGAACTTACGCATTGTGGGCGAACTTACGCATTGTGAGCGAACTTACGCATTGTACCAAGCAAGTGTCTTCTCACGCCACTCGGGGTCTTCAAAGAGAGCAAGGATGAAATTGAAGAATTCTTCACTGCAGAAGTCGCTGTCTGCCTCAGTTCATTCGGACTTGTACGTTATTTGATGGGTGCATGGCAGATATTTGACTCTTGACTATCTGCAACATGGTTCTCCAGCTCCTCTGTAATTGCATCTTCATCCACTATGGCCTCATCCTGTTCATCCAGCATATCATCGTCAAAGCCATCCTCATCATCAGGATGCTCAGCACCAGTCTGGCCTGTGCACCGTTGTTGAATGCTACCAAAGGTGCCATGATATCGATCTATTGGTTCCGTTTGCACTTTTGCCCGTGGATTTTTTGTTCGATATCATGGCACCTTTGGTAGCATTCAACAACGGTGCACAGGCCAGACTGGTGCTGAGCATCCTGATGATGAGGATGGCTTTGACGATGATATGCTGGATGAACAGGATGAGGCCATAGTGGATGAAGATGCAATTACAGAGGAGCTCGAGAACCATGTTGCAGATAGTCAAGAGTCAAATATCCGCCATGCACCCATCAAAGTTTGAGAGTTTGCTGTAAAGCGAGCCTGCAATGAAAGTGGAATGAGATCAGGATACTAGAAATCGAAATTGCGTACCAAAGTTACAAGATACGCAATGTTGTATTCGTTGCATTCTTTCATGTGGTAATTGTAGGCGATAGGGTTACATCCACCTCCCTTCTTGTGCTCACCAGGGACCTTGTTCCTCGGCAGTTTGTCACTGCGAGGTCTCATGCACAGCGCTCGAAAGCACTAGATAGCGATAAGCATGGCAATACAGATAAACCTATCACTTACTGAAGCCAGCAGGTCACTCTTCAAGGCATTTTCATCAACAGCACACAGATTGTAACCATTCTCGGGATAGACCATCCATGGGAGATCTGTGGATGCAATGGGAATCTGGCCCTTGAGGACATCCTTGCAGAACCTGAAAACCTCACACTCAGATAAGATAACATCAGCAGAATAGTGAGTAACTTCTCAGGGTTCTCATCGAAGTGTTTGTGCATTCGACGAGGGCATAAAAAATGTGCAGTCACGAAGTGATGGAATCCTCGTGCTTCCTTCAGATGCTCAGAGTCGATGTACGGAATGTTTCTGATTGTCAGAACAAATCTGAATATGTTCTTCTTTACATTGCTGAGGTCGTCCGGCCATGCCGAATGGGCCTTGCGAGACAGCTTGAGAAGAAAGATGTGTATTGTGAGTAATTAAATTCATAAGCTGCAGCGACTCACGAAGGTGGCGAAGTGAACAAGGTCTTCTGGCTCATTCTCAAAATGCAAAACAAGCTTCGCCAGGCCAGGTATGATCCTCAGGAGAGTGCTGTAATGCTCGATGAGCTTTGAAGCACTCTCTTCATCACTAAACACTTTGTGAGCACTGCATATATGCATATATATGCACTCTGGAGTGCAGGAGATAAGTTATAATGTGGTAGACTCACAGATAAGGCCAGTCAGTGAGATCCCATGCATCCTTAGCTACACCATGACATGCTATGCTGACTTGCAGAGTCTGGAGAATGTCAATGAAAGGCCCCATGGCTCGAGGGATGAGACGGGCTGCATCACTCCATACGTCAAGCTTGCTCCTGCTTAAAACATTAGTACTGAACTCGCAACAACAAATGACTTACTTGTCTGCCTTGCTATAGTGCATCTCACGGATGAGCTTCTCGAAATGCCTCGGCTTGATGCCATCATCCTCCTGCTCCTTGTCTTCCTGTTGATCATCTTCATCTTGCTGGTTATCTTGTCCAGTGCTGTGCGAACATGACCTATATGGGACATCGTCATCAAAGAGATGTTCAACTAAGTGAGTGCTCGTTTGTAGTCTAGTACGATCATGTTGAATGTCTTCCTCTTCATCGCTGTAGATTATTGCTCGTGCCTTGTTGGGTGGCAGACGATTCTCATGGAGCTGAGGCATGGGGCGCTTTTGCGACGCTTTTGCACCCTTTGAGTGATTTTTGGACTTGCTGGAATGCTTCGCTGCGTGAGAAGAGTTGGCCATATGTTGATGTCGAGGAGCCTTGGCTGAGATTGAGCTGAGAGATATTTCTCTGAGATAGAGAGTGAAATGAGATCGCATCAGTGCCTGAACACATTTATACTTCATTCCGGCATTTGCCATGAGCAGACTATATGCGCCTCTCAATGCACGCGTCACTCAGATTACTGAGCCCATCATGCAACACCTCTCTGCACTTGATATCGAGACAATTTCTGCTATGTCTGCTGTTCCAACTGCCATCACTAACCTTCAGCGAGTTTCATCCTGACTACACTTCGCACTGGGCAAGATCAGAACCTTTTCTAACATCGTCACGAAGATCACTCGAGGTGCTCACCGATCAATTGCCCATCCTCGCATCTGCTCAGCTTCACGCACTCTTATTCGGCTGGCCTCTGCCTCTATAATCCTTGCACTCTCTTTGGTTCACCATGCAAAGGGCAATCTTGATACAAGCGAGTGCATTGGACGCTATCAGCGCATCTTGCAGGCCTGGAGAGTGCCGTAGAAGATGTGGATAAACTGGAGTATGAGGCTGAGAGGGAAGGATATATTCCTATTCCAGAGGACTTTCTTTCCGGGCCAAGGTAAGCATTCATAATGAGTACTTAAGCGATTAGAAGTCTCATGGCAGTAGGAGCGATAACATCCATATCTACAGAGTGTCAGTGTTCATGCCACCTCAAGCCATGCTCGATGCCTGGATTTCCACCTGGAAGTATATTCGGACCATCCGGCTTTGCAGGTCATGGGAGGCACGATCATCCGGTGGGCAAGATGTCAATGGAGGAGGCTGTCAAGTATTTGAAGTCCATTGGCCATGTTTAATGCGTACATCTCGTCTTACACTAGTGTTCTTTGTAATTACTGCTTGTAATTGTCTCATTGATCTCGCCTTATAGTACTGGATTTGACGATCACTTCACCTGCAAGCGAACTTAGCGCCTATGAGTAAGCGCCCATACACAACGAATTGTAGGGCGTTACCGTCAATCGAAATCACTTCAAAAAGCTTTCAACCCTTTCATTTCACGCTGGCTTCGTACGTCGCACACCGTGGTCGCCCCGTCCGATCACTGAAACGAAGATCACCCGCTGCAAAACCAACCGCGACCGACGCGCACCATCGGACTTCAAAAACCTCCGCGCGCTGAGGACATCGCCCTGTAAGTCTCGTCCGCGCATTCGCTGCACAACGCACTCACGCCAGCCTGCGCAGACGTTCGCGCAGACGTTTCGCAATCCCAAGGTACGTTATGGACCGACGGGCACAGCGTGACCTCACGTCGCGAGACGCATATGAATGTTTTCAGGCCATATCGAAAGATGGAAGGAGGAAATATATTTCGTGGACGAAGGGAATGTGAATGAGGTTAAATAGCTTGCGATGACGTACCTTGGACCGATGGGGGCATACGTGAACCGCGTTCCCGACACCCTACAACAGAGCGTGTAGCCACGAAGGACCGACCATGCACGGGAGCGAGCTCGCAGAGTTGAGAGATGAGTACTAAACGCAATGCACGCATAGCTGAGCCGCCTGCCGGCAAAACCGCTATCGCATCTGGGTTCGTGTGTTAGAAGGACATCTATGTGAAGGCTATGCACCTAGCGCCATCGCCGCCTTTTCGCCCTGCCTGCCGAATCCTCTCCCACATAGAGCATCCGGTGCGGTGCGCCTCGGCCTGTTCTCATCTCACGAGCTGCTGACCATGCTGCTTGCAGGGAGGAAGGGCACGGGAGTACGTCGTCGTCGCACCATGAGGTCAGTGCGCGTCTGGGCTTAGCCTTTCCATGAAACGTGAGTTCGAGTTGGAGATGTCAGCGAGTACGTGCCCGAGCGTGAGCGATGAACGTCGACTGTAAGAGCTCAAGTAGAGATGCGTGGGTCACGTAGAGCAACTTGGCGATTGACCGCGAGCGTCAGACGTGGCATTGAGCGTCAGGACCGAGTGATGGAGCGAAAGCGTGCACGAGAAAGTCGCAGCGGCGCGCGAGCGGTTATTCGAGAGTACATCGAGTCGACGGCGGGAAGGGGCAGAGGCCGTTTCAGCGGGGACGCGCACACAAGAGCAGTGATTGAACGCGTCAGATGAGCGAGAGAGGAGGCCTTGAAGAGAGACGTCATCTGAAGGGATCACTTCACCTGCAAGCGAACTTAGCGCCTATGAGTAAGCGCCCGTACACAACGAATTGTAGGGCATTTACCGTCAATCGAAATCACTTCAAAAAGCTTTCAACCCTTTCATGTGGCATCCATCACTCTGACAAAATCATTTATTTCGCTCCTGACAATGGACATCACCCACCATGTCCGTGTCAAGGGCATTGGATGCGATCACGTGATCTAAGCCTCCACGTCGCGACACGCATCTTGAAGTCACTTGGTTGAAGAGGCGCCGGGCGCCGGTTCCAAATGACACGAAAACTCAATCACAGTAGCGGAAGATGCGGTGTGTATCACTTATGCTAACGTAGCTCTATATTACATCTCTGCAGCCTCATGTTGGTGAACAGCAACAACGCAGGCAAGAGCCAAATAGGATGAATCACTTAAAGAAACGAACGACTTCGAGCATTGTCGTAAAATGATGAATACATGTTGCAGCTACCGGAAGCTGTCCCAGACTTCTTCCATGTCATCTCGAGACCCCACCCAGACGTTGGGCCCTCGTTCTGTTGCCATACATGGCCTACCGCAGGGTAAGTCTCTGATCCGCCACAAGATGAAAACATCGCTGACTGTGTGGGTGCATGCATTGTCGAAAATGAGGTTGAGGCATCCATCATCTGAGAAGAACCATCGCTGGTGAGGGCAGCTCCAGCAAGTGCAGGACATGGTGCGGATGTCGTCGAACGAGAAACCTCGGTCTTTGTGCCTTACCGATAATCACTGATGGTGTATGAGCAAATACTGCGATGGCTGAGAAGATGTGTGGGGTATGCTGACACGATCGCATCAGTGGAGATCGTGTTTATGGTGATGGTCGACCAGAAGAAGCATAGTGGGTAGAAGGCCGATTCATTGTGGCTACGCATAAGATCGACGCGGATGTTTGGTCTGGTGATTCGAGCCATACGGTCCATTCCCTGTTTCAACCAGGGGTACGGTTGCTCCTGATTCTCCTCATCTGATGCATCTATGACATATTCGATCACGAAACCCAGTAAGTTGCTGATGTAGTCGAGTACCACATCCCACTGACTATGTGGCGTGTATAGATCGTAGTCATTAAGCTGCCACAAAGCGTCGACGAGTAACAGTCTGGCAGCAGCGGAACCGGACAGTATGGTGCCGGTGTCGTGCATCGTGGCGCGGAAGTCGTCGGTGTCCTCGGAGATGATGCAAACCGGTGAATGTAACAGTTGCATGAATAGAAAGCAAATATGACGAACTAAACATGACAGAGAACCCGCTGACATCGTCGGAAAGACAGACACAAGATCTTCAATTGGCTTCCCCCACCGAAGGAGTAGCCAGGCCCGTAACGCGATGTGACCACACATGCTTAAAATTGTCACCCCCCACCGGGAGGGTGCTATAGACATCAGCATAATGAATACGCGAATCATGTAACCCGTTCACTGAAGACGGCAGAGGCAGCAGCGGAGGAATGAACAAGAACAAACAGGTGTAGTACACAACGAGAGCGACGACTGTGAAGGAAGGAGACACGACATAATCAGCGCTGCAGACATCGCCACAGAGGAGTGGACAAAATACCGGTGAAGCAGATATCGAATGCATTAATAATACACCTGGTGAACGACATGGAGAGTGACATGAGGATGTCCAGCACAGAGAAGACAGGAGGTAGAAAGCAATGAGGCCTGAGGAGCCGGATATTGCGAATAAGGGCAAGTTGTGGAATGAAAACAATATTTCGTAGGAGGAAATATTCCGTATGAACCAAAGCAATATTTCATATGAACTGTGCACAAAACGGGCCGAATCGCACCTTAGGGATCACGTAAGCACAGGCCATCCCCGTACGTCAATAGCCAAATTTGTCATTTGGTCTAAGCCTCCACGTCGCAACACGCGTCTTGAAGTCATCAATTCAATTCTGAGCTCTCCGCTACTCACTCACTCCGCTATTCATTCTCTTTGCTGCTTCATCCACATACTCTAGAAGCTGAGACGATGCCTAATTCTATCTGCTATGCCTGCAATAAGGCCTGTAAAGATGCCCGTGGACTCACACTGCACTACAAGGTCTGCAAAGCAATCAAGGCAGCTACTGTTGCCTCCGTAAAGAAGCGCGTAGCAAAGAAGGAGGCAGACAGGGCATCCAAGGTTCCAAGGCTAGCAGATGTAGAGCAGGATAGTGTTGGAAGTGGCTGACTGACAGCACTTTCGGTAGAACGCACTCAACGCGTCGGGAGGGACGAGCGCCAAGTGACGGCTGAAATGCGTCGCAGGGCAGTATCTGGAAATGGAGCGGGCGAGTACGGAAGGGTGGAAAAGCATATAAGTACGCACCTGTAGTACCAAGGCCCCAGTCATTTGTGGCCTCACCAGCCTCTCACTCCCTTTGCGCCCATGAGACGGGAAGGTGCCGGCTGGCTAACACCCTTGCCGCACCACGATTTCCTAGAGATAGAGTGGTAATGGAAGAGCAAGTGAACATTGTGAGTTATAGCTAAGATTGAAGCGTGAATCCTTAATGACCTTAGTAGCCGGATGAGCCTCGTTTGGAATTTCTTGAAGGCTCATCTACAGGAATAGTGTCTCATGAAGATCCACCCATTTCTCTCAGCCGCAGTGGTCGCAGAAGACGTGCACCTCGTGCCCTTGAGGACTTTCTTCCATCCACCACACGTGGTCCACCAGCTCATATAGCACGACCTCCAACTGCTGCTTCTTCTCACCTGAAACAAACTCATGCTGTCACTGTGGAGGAGGTTCCTGATGAATCCGACATCTCACAGATGCCTCCAGTCACAGTACTTGAGCACGATATGAAGCCAAACGTGTTTGGTGTATTCCGTCGCTATGCATCCAAGCCGACCGGTATGGCTTGTGACATCACATCTCTCGATGACACTTGTGACTCTCCTCATCTGGCCAAGAACAAAGGCAAAGAGCGAGCATGAGAATGGTACCACCCCTTCCAGAACTCCACTATCACTCGTGTTGTCATGTGGGGGAACACAGGTTCCAACCTGAAGTCCAACAAAGAGCTCAATTGACTTGTGCATGATGTCATTCTGGCTGACGACTTTAACCCTGATGATCTTCATGGCTTTCGAGCTTCAAAAGAACTCTCTCGCTTGGATTCTACAGACTCCGGTGACAGTTTCTTCTCTGCTTCTGCAGGCTGGAGAAAGTACTCCATCAAGATACCCGTGCCAAAAGAGAAGGTCAAGCTACCTGAAGAAAATGCTCCTACATTCGAAGTGGGAGATATTCATATGCATCATCTTGTCGATATCATTCGGGAGGTCTGTGAGGACCCTGATGCAAAGACGTACAACTGGCGGTCATTCAAGGAGTTCTGGCAATGTCCAAAGGATGACAGCTGCACTTCAAGAGGATCCTCAGTAGATCAGATGCCAGCTGAGACAGAGAATGTACGCATCTATAGTGAGCTCTACAATTCGGATGTGATGCTCGAGGAAGACGCAAAGATTCATGCATGACCTCGTGAACCTGGAGATCCAGATGATGTGGAGCCTGCTGTTGTTCCAATCATGCTGTGGTTGGATGCTACACATCTTGCCAATTTTGGCACGGCTTCCCTCTGGCCCATCTATGCTTACTTTGGCTTTCAGTCAAAGTATCAGCGTGCCCAGCGACACTCGCGTTCATCACACCATCTTGCCTATATACCTAAAGTACGTCGTACTTGTTTCTCATGTCATCTGATTGAAAAAGCTTATCGTCACCTATAGTTACCTGATGACTTTCAAGACTGGTACGAGGAGACATATGGGGAGCCTGCAAGTGCAGATGTCCTTCGCTTTTGCAGACGTGAGCTGTATCATGTGATCTGGCTACTTCAGCTGGATCCTGAGTTCATGCATGCCTATGAACATGGAATTCTTCTTCGTTGTGGAGATGGAGTCCTTCGTCGACTATTTCCGAGGTTCTTTACATATTCTGCAGATTATCCTGAGAAGTAAGTGATATAGGGTTTATTTTCATTATTTATTGCACTGACTTCTCACAAGGATACTTCTCGCATGCATCCGCTATCTTGCACGATGCCCGTGCCCACGCTGTCTCATCAAGAAGGCTGACATTCCAGATATGGGTTCACATATGGACATGCTCTGACAGGCAAAGTTTCGTGCAGATTCACACCCTGTACAGTACGATATTATGAAGACGCGACGTTGGATATTCGAGAAGGGCTATGGCCCCGGAAGCAAACACATCGCAAATGTCTTAGATCACTACTCATTGGTGCCAAGCAGGGTACGTTTAATGCATGTCTATTATATGATCTTCGACATTGATTGTTTTATTATTTGTTCTAGAGTGCATTCTCTATTCGTTTATCAGAGTTTGGATTCGACTTCTATCCAATGTTCGTAGTCGACCTCATTCATGAATTCGAGCTTGGTGTTTGGAAAGCGATCCTCACACATCTGCTGCAGATCCTCTATGCTGAGGGTAACAACACAATTCAAAGATCCAACAAGAGGCACGTATTGACTGTTCTCCACTGCTGACTGGCTTCTCACTTTTCACTAGGTTTTGCAAGGTTCCAACGTTTGGACGAGACACAGTTCGTCACTTTGGCAACAATGTGTCAGGCTTGAAAAAGCTTGCTGCGTGTGACTATGAAGACATCCTTCAGGTATATTTCTCTCCATTCTGCACTCAGCAAGGCTCTAAATATGATTGTTTATGTTGCAGCGCATAATTCTGCTTATTGAAAAGCTCCTGCCAGCTCCTCACAACGACATGGTAATTGATATTCTCTTCAAACTAGCTACATGGCATGTCCATGCGAAGCTCTGTTTACACATGTCAAAAAGTCTTCTGCTGTTCCGCCAGTCAACAAAACGTCTTGGTATGGTTGTACGCCAGTTCCGCAATACAACATGTGACACATATCACACCATGGAGCTGCCAAAGGAAGAGGCTGCACGTGGACATCGAGAAGCTACGATGAGTGCTAATGTGAAGTTGTCTGCGACTTGGAAGCAAAACGCAGCTGCACCAAGGGGTCCCAAAGTGAAGAAACTCAATCTGCAGACTTACAAGTGGCACGCACTGCCTGACTATCCACCAACCATCGAACGATATGGAACTACAGACAACTACACATCTCAAATCGTATGTACCATCATTTTTTGCGTAATATTCAAATGAATGACATGGTTATCTAACTTGATAGGGTGAGGAGGAACATCGAACAGTCAAGACGGACTACGATAGGACGAACAAGAACAACGCCACAGGTCAGATAGCAAGACAGCAGCATCATAAGATGGCATTGCACCAAATCCAGTGAAGTGACGATAGACTATCTCATGGGAAGAAGAAGAAACTACTGCGAGCCAAGAAGAAGGTCAACTGCGATAAGGAACGGAATTTCTCAGATTTGAGGAACAAAGGAAGTTTGCTAGGCACTGCTGGGCTACGTGGAGCAACACTCGATTTTGCAGTTGATGAGCCACTTCCTTTCACATCTCCTGAAGCACGCTTTCACATTTCTGACTCACAGAGGTATTCCGAAGATATTACCTCATGGCTTCAATCAAACAGAAATGACCCTGCCTGCACAGTAAGCATTTCATCTGTCATGGTTTCTAAATGCTGACATTTTCACAGAATTTCCTTCTGCTCCTCAAGGACCACATCCTTGGTCGCTTGCGTGGGCGTCCATATGATGGCGATGAAAGAGGTTTTTCTCACCAGGATCACCACACGATGATCTTCGAGAAAAATCAAATGTATTTCCATAAGGTATTGCGAGTCAATTACACTACATATGATATGCGCTGCATGCAAGATTCCATCAATCCACACACCCACCCAAATATTATGGTTGCTGCACACGAAGAAGACGACGACAATAATCCTGAGGCAAGCAAGCATCCATACTGGTATGCTCGCATCATCGGTATCTTCCATGTCAACGTAAGGCATACTGGACCATTCTGAACATCAGATGAAGTACAACGAATGGAGGTTCTCTGGGTTCACTGGTACGGACGAGACATTGATGCTCTAGAAGGCTTCGAGACACAGCATCTGCATCGCATTGGGTTCATTGACGGCAGCGATCCTAACGCATTCGGGTTTCTCAATCCTGCAGTCATCATACGAGCTGCACACATCATCCCAGCATTCGCTTATGGAAGGACAGCAGACTTGCTACCAGCGTCACCCTGTGCAAGACTGCCAGAGGAAGAAGATATGGACTATGAATTTTATTACGTGAATATGTGAGTTGCTCATTTTCTATGCTATGATCTTTATTCTACTCATCTGTTTTATCTGTTTGATAGGTTTGTTGATCGCAACATGTTCATGCGCTATCTAGGTGGTGGTATAGGACACAAAGGTACTGTCGTGCACATACCTGTATGTTTCACAGAAGCATCCGATGAAGTCGAAGACAATGAAATGGATAGATCAACTGTGGGTTCCAATGATACATTGGCTGTGCAAGATGACTCGGAGGGCCGCAGTGTTAGCGAAGAAGATGGGATGGAGGAGGAACTCGAAGATGAGGAGCTTGACTATGGCTACATGCTTGACGAAGATGACAACGATGATGGTCTCGAGGCAGCGATAGTGGGAGACATTGGACCCGAAGATGGTGAGGACCTTGTGTTGGATGATGAGGATGACAATAATGACATCCCTTTTGCGGCACTATAGTAAGTAATCATTTCTTAGTGGCAGTTTGCTCTTTTTGGGACCTGATGGTAGTACATGTACTACGTCCTTGTGTGTTTGCACGAGAGTCACACTAGGCCAGTAAATCTTAATGATATTATCTTATGCTCGTAGTTTTATTCGCATCAGTACAAGGACATCTACACTGCTGAGACTATCTGAAAAGACTCCGGACATGATAGAGAACGAGTGGAAAACCCGATATATACCGTGCCATTATCTGTGGATACCTGTTGAATACTAGTCAGATAATGCCAGACAGAGTCAGGCAATGCATACCTGTCTGGGATAATTAGCCGGACACTATGAGACATTGCCTGACATTATCTGACATTGTCTGGCATTGCCATATTGCGGGGGGGAATTGCCTACCTAAGTCTGTGTTATCGGCCCAGATCGGTGTTCGACATTTTTGCTGATGGAGATCTCATGTCCCAGTGCGTGCACAGGGTGGCTATGATCTGGAAAAGTCGTATCCAAAGTCGTACCTAGTTGGATTCGAAACTATGTTACGGTCTGAAACAGCTTACGAGTCACATTTTCAAACTCAGTCATTTGGAACAAAACAGTTCTAAATTCCTACGAATAGTCATCCATTGAATGCAGGTTTGTTGTACAAGGCAACTATGCCGATAATAGACGACCCGTGAACCCTATGCGTGCATCCCCTTTTGATTCCGTACAAGAACCTTGAGGTCATCAAAAGCGAGCGAGGATGCACAGATCAAGAATGAGCCGCCGTGGGGGAAATTGCGCTTATGAGTCAGTGTCATGTGCCACAGTACAGTCGAGGCCGGTGCAGTAGGTGCGTGTATTCTCGAGGCTGAGCCTATGCCATCCTTAGCTTCCTGCGTATATCTAAAGATGATGCATGCTTCCACGATGAACAACATACCGTCGTATGGAGGCCTACGACGTTCGGCATCGAAGGTTGAATTTTGAATGAGGGTAACCGGATTCATGATGCTTCTTTGGACCGCTCGTCACAAGTTCTTGTTATTTGTTAGCCGCTCGTTGGCGGTCTCAAGAGGTGGAATGATCAACGACGTAGACGCGCATAGATATAAATTGAAAACCTTAGCAGCTGATGATGATAAGAAAAGTCCGAGGATCCTCGGACCCAGCTGATGTGATTAGCATCACCTCTTTGTTCTCCGCCATTGTATCATTTGTTGAGTCATACGATGCCTGCATCGCCAGGAAGGCCGCAATAAAGCCAACGTTGCAACGAAAGTCGAGCAGCCTGTGAGTGATCCCGGGATTCAGATGAGTTTGCGATCACGCTCTTCGAACCGGTCTCACAGACGGGGCCCCCGACAAGAGGCTCTGAGAAAGGGTTCTGATCAGATCATATAAATGTATTGAGAAGGCGACAGAAGTGATGGATGGAGCGTACACAGTGGGGGTGGGGTATTCTCACTGGAGTTGTCCAGACACAGAAGCTCGTCGGGATCTGCTACAACCACGGGACCCGGAGGCGTCCTCTGATATCAATACCAATGCTAAGTGCTAGTCATCCTCCTCACGAGCAAATCCTGGTTCGGACAGTGGTACCATATACAAGGACATCACACATACCCTCTCGAGCGGAAATGAGCTACTTACTCGCAATTGAAATGAGCGGCCAGCGTGCCGTAAATTATCAGAATGTATGGGACTACCTGAGAAGATGCAGTTGGTCTAGCAAGCCGGAGGACTAATGGGACATCAAATGCACCGAGAGTCCCGAGGTACGTTGATGACGGCATGAAGAGGCATGTGCACCGCAGAGCATGAGGACTCGCAATCCAGCATACTCCGTTAGTCGGCTCCCGAGTGCAGATTGCGTGCACGTCCTTCCATACTTAGCAGTTCAAGCGTGCTCCATATGGTTGTAACGTCTCCGGCGGTGAACTAGGCGTGGGTAGATAGTGGCGAACCTAGACAGTCGGCTGCAATAAATGGGCGAGTAGTTTGAGCAGCTGATCGCTTCACTGTCGCTCTCACCGATGAGGAGCCAGAGCAACCTATCTTGACGCCGCATGACGGGCTGCGCAGACCGGTACAGTGGAAGCGAGCCCAGCTGCATAGGCCTGATAAAGTCCGAGAAAATGGTGAGGGTTGTCATTTGGCGCCCCTCCGTTCAACATGAACCAACCTGTAGGACTCGAGGTGGATATCATTGTGGCTGGAGGTAAGGGAGAAATGCACAACGTGGCGGACCCTCGAAACGTGCTTCAAATCTATTCGCAGGTGGCACAAGTGGTTGTGTGCTCGCAAGCCGGCTGGCAGAAGAATTCCCTGATCTCAGCATCCTCATCGTTGAAGCCGGCCCGTCTACGCAAGATGACGTCGCACATATCCAGCCTGCACGGTATCGCAGCCACATGCGTCCTGACTCCACCACTATGAAGTTCTACGCCAGCAAGGAAAGCGAATATCTTGATGGACGGTCGGTTATTGTCCCAACCGCCCAGTGTCTGGGAGGAGGGTCCAGCGTTAACTGTATGCCGTCTGTGCTTCGCGTTCGGTGTTCCTGACTGTACCTTTGGTAGGGATGATGTATGCGAGGGCTTGCGTTTCTGACTATGACGACTGGGAGAACGTTCATGGTAACAAAGGGTGGGGATATAAGGATCTCCTGCCGTTCTTACGCAAGGTGCGACATCTGCCAATCACAACCAAAGCATATAAGATGCTCAGACCTGTATAACATAGATGGAGACATACCAAATCGAGTCAGGAAAGGAAACGCATGGCGATTCCGGTCCGCTCAAGGTATCCTGGGGAGGGTATCGCGGAAACTTGGAAGGACAATTTCTCGACGTCGCGGCCAAGTATGACCCGGAGCGCGGCAGCACAGACGATGTCAACGCGATGACTGAATGCAATGTTTATGGGGTGGGTTCCTGCTCCTGGCCCTGCTTCGCTGGAACATTGATGAATATCACTCGCAGCGAAATCCAAAGTGCGTCGTGAGCCAACATATGTGAAGACAGCACTCACATTCTTCCAGGTGGATTGATGCCACAAACGGGAGACGACAGGATGTGCCGCATCAATACTTGTACAAGCTGTTGAATTCCACAAAGTTAACCGTCATCACCGAGCACGTTGTCAAGCGGGTCATCTGCAGGTAATCACAATCTTCCATAGATCTCGTGAAGGTCCTTACACGCCCTTTTTTGGGTAGGAACGAACGCGCAGTTGGCATCGAGTATGTTTCTAAGCATGAATCGGGGCCAGGAGCTAAGCAGCAGATCCACACTGTCCATGCACGTCGCCTGGTCGTTATCTCGGCCGGAGCTTTCGGATCCCCTGGAATCCTGGAGCGATCGGGCATAGGCGGAGAGAAGCTGTTGCGGGACCTCAGTATTGACACAATTGTGGACCTCCCTGGCGTGGGGGAGAATTATAATGGTGGGTGACAAAATGCGTTCAAAGGTGGAGACCAGACCCAATGCCTTCGTAGACCATGTAGGGCTCTTTGCGCCATATGTCGCTGACGACAAGGCAGATACGCATGATGCGCTTGAAAGGAATGATCCAGATGAGGTTGATAGTAAGACATTCCGCATTTTGGTTACGGTATCCGTCAACTTTATTTCACCTTGACTTGCAGAATGGAACGCTCAATGGTTCGAGGACGGTACCGGAATGATGGCTGCCAAGTAGGTGCTTATAGTGTGCGGAAGTCGAGATTGATCACGACCACAATAATGCACAGTGGTCTCGACGCAGTCATCAAGTTGCGCCCGACGATGCAAGAACTGCAAGATATTGGTCCCGATTTTCACTCGCGATGGGCTGAGGCTTTCGAGGACGCAACTGATCGACCGGTGATGTGGTTTGGCACTGGCGCTTGGTGGGTGGTTTCGCCGTTGTCTAAAAGCAGCGTTTACCCTTGTATGCGCTTGCATAGGTACGGAAAGGAACCCGTTGACGTTCCCTCCGGAAAGTATTGGAACGTCTGTTACTTCCTGCTGCGGCCGTCATCGATAGGATACGTCCACATCACCTCTGCGGACAACGTCCATGCTCCTCCAGACTTTGATCCTAAATTTCTCAGCTGGCGAGTGCTACCTCTTGCGTAGCCTCCTTAATTCTGACAGGGCGGTGCAGCAAAGACGATCTCGCTCTGCTACGGTGGCTTTACAAGCGTAGCCGCGAGTTTGCGCGCCGTCTGCCGTACTATCGTGGCGAGTACTTGCCCGGTCATCCGAATTTTGCACCTCACAGCGCAGCGGCGGGCCGTGCGAGTGCGCAGCCCGTGGAGATCTCTGCGCCGAACCTGGTTTTCAACGAGGAGGATGATAAGGCGATAGATGATCATACGCGTGCTTCTGTGAGCACTATATGGCATTCCGTAAGTCGTCCGTCACAGCTCGATCCACGGTTATGCAGTGATGCGGAATTCTTCTTCAATATAGCTAGGTACCTGCGCCATGAAAGCGCGAAACAAGGGTGGTGTGGTAGACTCGCAGCTGAACGTATATGGTGTTCAGGGCCTGAAAGTAGCGGGTAAGAGCATTGCATTGGAGGAGAGCCATTATAATGTGTGACTGCCACAGACATGTCTATCGCGCCGGCCAACGTCGCCTCGGTACGTTTCGTGCATGCTCCTGTAGAAATTGAAATAATCTAATTGATGAATGATGCAGAACACTTACTCCACTGCGCTTGTGATAGGGGAGAAAGCAGCACAGATTATTATTAAAGAGATACGCAGTCACATTCCTCTCTTACACTTGTAACCCACCTCGTAGATGTACCTGCGCGGTCAATTCTTGCCGTTATGTGTTGTCATTTTTATCATTTATAGTGATGCATTTTTTGTCCGAGGAACATCGCGTAATGACTTTGTACAGCATGCAATGATGATCACTGTCGGTGCCTTCGGACGCAATTCAAAAGGCTAGGCTCTTGTCCAGTCAGCGGTTTCCTCACTAGCACACGGTTTACGTGGCCTGGTTTTGAGATGACGGCAAGAGCACTCCTGTAACGTTTCCAAAAGTTGGCTCGTGGTGGTACGACACCGGAGGAAACACAGAGATTGACGCCAGTAGGTTTGGCCACAGACCCGCTTCTGCAATCAAAGAGCAGCAGTCGGTACGGAAAATAAACCAGCAAAGTCGTGCATGGAAAAAAATCTCTGCTTGTTTTCAGCGATGAGACCGCGGTGGTTGAACATTAAGATTGAAATACTCGGGCCCGAGCATTGATGGGTGGGCGCCAATGCGCCACGTGGGGAACCCCGTATATTCAGGGAATAATAATGAGACTTGGCGGCGTACAGCAACTGCTCATCCACAACCTCCGCAGCCACAATATATCCTCCTCCTCTTATTTTTCATCTTCTCTTTTTCACCTCGTGCTTCACATTGCAGGCGATGAAGAAGCTTTTCACCCGCGACAAGGGTAAGGCCAAACTCGCGCCATCAGACATCGGGTCCGGCACACCCACAGAGGTACGCTCTCCTCCCGCTCGCTTTATTTCTATCTTGACTGATCCGCAACAGCATCATTTCAATGGATTACATGCAAATCACCGTCATGATCGTTCCCAGTCGAGCACCCCCCAGCCTGATGACCACTGGAGCATCGTAGACTCGGACGCCCAGTCATACACCGTCCGGTCGGTCATCTCTCCCGTAGGCTCTTCGCCACCACTCCCCACGTCCACCCCGCAGTTTGTATCTCAGAGTAACGTACCACCACCTTCGGCGGTCCCTCCCGCCTCCTCTTCGCCTCCGCCAAAGGGCGCCCAGCGCGAGCGCGATCGTGAGCGCGAGCCGCTGCTGCGTAAGCGACCGACCAACGGGCACAGTGCCTTCGCAGCCGTCGGCATACTAAAGGCACTCGACCCTCATGTAGACCAGGCGCATCCGTCCGAACCGTCGGAGGATGGCACAATGGAGCACTCGTCCCGCGAGGAGAAGAAGGAACGCAGGTTCTGGGAGCGTAGCAAGGATAAGGACAAAGAACGCGGGAGCAAACAGGAGGACGCACATGCGGAGCTCACTAGGATGATCGGTGCGCGCACTTTGGGCTACGTGCAGTTCATTTACTCATTGTTTGATGGATACGGATCTGCAGGCTACCTCACTGCGACCGCGTCTGAGGACTGGTCGCTTGTGCTGGAGGTCTGTGAGCGTGCCTCCGCTAACGAGTCCAGTGCAAAGGAGGCGGCCAAAGCTCTTCGACGGGAGTTCAAGTGAGTACACGATCGTGTCGTCGATCTTGGCTGCGAACGTAATGCCTGATATTCCGTCTTATAGGTATGCGGAACCTGCTGCGCAGCTCTCTGCCGCACGGGTGCGGACGCTCTCCTGTAACTGAGAATTCTAATATCTGACAACACGTTCTGGCTCCCAGCTATGGGCAATTATGCTGCGGAATGCGTCCGAGTTGTTTATCACGCAGTGTTGCTCGCGCAAGTTTCTTGACACGCTCGAGGACGTCATCACCTCACAACGGACACCTCCTGTCGTACGCGAACGGTTGCTCGACGTTCTCGCTGCTGCATCATATGCGAGCACGCAGGGTTCGTTGTTCGTTGCCAATCTACTGCGTGACTACTGACACGCGAGACAGGCAGCAAAGAACATGCTTTCCGGCACTTATGGAAGAAAGTCAAACCGGCAGATAAGCCGGAAGAGGTGAGTTTGTGCAAAGCAATTGATCGTAATGTTGCGATACGATGTGTATATGCAGGGAATACCCTTCGACACGGGCGACGCGATGTTCTATCCACCGATACTACGGCATTCGCAACAATCTCTACCTCCTGGGGCTGAGCCACAGCCCAGTCCGCTCCAGCGTCCACCACCGATAGTACGTGAACTGCTATCTCCGCAAGTGCTGACGTTTACGCCAGACATCCTCTCTCACGTAGGTAATGTCACCAAAGCCTAGATCATCTCCACGACAACGCGTGATACCAATAGAAGAAGACATACGGCGGCTGTTCCAAGAGTGTAATGTCGGGCGTGGAAATGCGTCTTTGCTTTCAGAGTCCCTCGCATTCGCAAAACCGGAAGATCTCAAGGAGAAGGATATCATCCGGGTTTGTTATATTGTATTTCTGCGTGATAGGTAGTAGATTTACGTCGGCTGCTTGACAGGAATTCTATGCACGCTGTCGTGCATCACAGGAGCTCATCTCTGCCCAGATCCCATGGGCATTTGCTGGCGCCGAGCGCTCACGACAAGCCTCGGGTCGGCGCGAGCGTCCGGTGCGCCCATCATTCGATTCAGGGCGTACGCGCACCGATTCAGTCGTGTCGCACCCCGAGTCAGAGGCGGGCAGCGGCGAGCTGACGCAAGAAGAGCAGCTACTCGCAGCGCTGCTAGCTGCGAATGAGGAGCTGATGTCGGCGCTGCGGCAGTACGACGACCTGGAACGCGTCGGAATCGAGCGTGAGGCGGAGGAGCGGAGTAAGAAGGAGACAAGGATGAACCGGAGTGTGAGTAATCTGATACATTTCTGTCTTCTGTCGGATGGTGCCTGACGGTGGGATGGTGGAATAGCAACTCCGATATGAAGACGTGGACCACTCATTCCTGGAGCCGGGGTATCCGAATCATGGCGCGGGCTCGTCTTCAAGGAGTCCGTCGCCGTCCTCGCCGTCGCTGTCGCCGAATCCATCATTCGTGCTCACGCCTGTCGTGCCTTCGCAAGCGCATCCGTTACCACCCATACCCACACACACCACGGCGAATGCGACGCACCCGTCGTTGCCGCCACATCACCACCCGCTGCCGATCGTACAGCAAATCTCCATACAGTCGCTCGCGCCCCCACCACATGCGCCGCTTGGGCCGCGGTCGCCCGGGCACAATCCGAATCGTTCGCGGACACCCTCACCCGATCGACACGAGCATCGAGATTCGCATCATCATGAGCACTGGCATCATGAGCATCGGCTGTGGCCGCGCCGATCCGTGGACAGCACGGCAAGTATTATTACGCACGATATGAGCCGGATGCGGGTGCAGGAGCATCAGGGAGGGGCGATCGGTGAGGAGGAGGCGCCGGAGATGCCCGTGCGGCCGAGTGCAAAGGCGCTGGGAAAGCGGAAGGTGGTGGAGCCTGTTGATCCTGATCGTGAGTGTTTTCGAATCATCTGCATTGAAGCATGCGTTGACTTGTCATGGGTCAGCATTCGACCCGGACGATCTCTTCTATGACCATACAGAAGAATCGATACGCCAGAATGACGACGGACTGGACTCGGATTCCGATTCGGGCCACTATCGCGGGTGGAACCAGCCGGTGCAATATGTTTACGATGCGGCGGCGGAACTGATGGAACAGCGTTTGAAGGAGGGAAGGCTCGCGCAGGCGGCTGTCACGCCTGCTCTTGTGCACTAGAGGTCAGAAAAGCTGTTGGCGTAGGCGCCGGGAGAGGTGCGGCGTGGGCGAGCCTATACACTGTCCCTGTCCCGGGGTCCAAGGGCGCAGTCTGCATCAGTTGGATGCTGCCGCTGGTGCTGTGGGTCGGATCGGTCTGTCGCGTGAGCGAATTGGGCCTGCGTGTACTATAGCCGGAAATTGGGATTTCGGACGGTCATTTGTAGAGTAGTCAGTTTCATGCCTTTTTTCATTGTATGAGTAGACTGCTTGGTGCAATAAGTTATCCGGCAATGTTCCTGCCTTTGTTGATTCGGCATCATGATGTATGCAATCCTAACCTTGCGCCTCAGATTGGACACGGTACATCTACTCTTGTTGTTACCACAATACAAGATCAGCATGTGGGCACCGGGCGCTCAGAGGAACTTGAGTCGCTCGCAGCAGCAGGCTGAAAGCATCGCTACCTGCAGTAGATGCTGATACGCACCGACGCCCAGGCACTCCATTTCCTGGTCATCGGTATCGTCTATCATGCTGCTTTTAATTATGTTCAACCACCGCGGTCACGGTCTCGTCGCTTCCAGCAGCGCTGAAAACAAGGAGAGAATTTTCCATGCACGATGTTACTGGCATATTCTCCGTACAGACTGCGTGCCGACTGCTGCTCTCTAGTACCGGAAGCGGATCTGTGGCCAAAGCTAGGTTGCTGGCATCAATGTATGTGTTTCCTCCGATATCATCTGTCTCGGATCATATCGGTCCCACCAGAGCGAACCAACGCTTGGAAAAGTTATAGGAGTGTTCTTGCCATCATTTCATAGTCAGGCCACGTAGACCGTGTGCTGCCAGTAGTGAGTAAGTCGCTGACTGGACAAGAGCCTAGCATTTTCAATCGCATCGGGCACCGACTGTCATCATTGCATCCCGTACAAAAGCGATGTTCCTCGGACAAGTAATCAGTCACTACAGCACATGACATGTAACAGCAAGAGTTGAAAACTCAGATACATCTAGCAGGTGGGTTACAAGCGCGAGAGGGGAATGTGACTGCGTAGCTCTTCGATAATAATCTGTGCTACTTTCTCCCCTATCACAAGCGCAGTGGAGTAAGTATTCTGCATCATTCATCAATTAGATTATTTTTAATCTCTACAGGAGCATGCATGAAACGTACCGAGGCGACGTTGGCCGGCGCGATAGACATGTCTGTGGCAGTCACACATTACAATGGCTCTCCTTTAACGCAATGGAATGCTCTTACCCGCTACTTTCAGGCCCTGAACACCATACACGTTCAGCTGTGAGTCTACCACACCATCCTTGTCCCGCGCTTTCATGGCGCAGATACCTAGCTATAGTGCTCACAGAAGCACGTATATAATCATCTATCGCTCTATCATCCTCCTCGGTGAAAACCAGGTTCTGTGCAGACATCTCCACGGGCTGCGCACTCGCACGGCACGCGGCTGCGCTGTGAGGCGCAAAATTCGGATGATCGGGCAAGTACTCGCCACGGTAGTACGGCAGACGGCGCGCAAACTCGCGACTGCGCTTGTAAAGCCACCGTAGCAGAGCAAGTTCGTCTTTACTGCACTGCTCTGTCAGAATCAAGGAGGCTACGCAAGAGGCAGCACTCACCAGCTGAGGAATTTAGGGTCAAAGTCTGGAGGAGCATGGACGTTATCCGCAGAGGTGATGTGGACGTATCCTATCGACGAAGGCCGCAGCAGGAAATAACAAACATTCCAGTACTTTCCTGAGGGGACGTTAACAGGATCCTTTCCGTACCTATGCAAGCGCATACAGGGGGGTAAACGCCGCTGTCAAACAATCAATGGCGAAGCTACTCACCAAGCGCCAGTGCCAAACCACATCACCGGTCGATCAGTTGCGTCCTCGAAATCCTGAGCCCATCGGGAGTGAAAGTCGGGACCAATATCTTGCAGTTCTTGCATTGTCGGCCGCAACTTGATGCCCGCGTCGATACCACTGTGCATTATTGTCGTCATCCATCTCAACTTCCACACACTACAAGAACTTACTTTGCAGCCATCATCCCGGTACCATCCTTAAACCATTGAGTGTTCCATTCTGCAAGCCAAGGTGAACGATGAATACCGTGACCAAGATGCGGAATGTCTTACTGTCAACCTCGTTTGGATCATTCCTTTCAAGCGCGTCATGCGTAACTGCTTTGTCGTCAACGACATACGGTGGGAAAATCCCTACATGGTCTGCAAAGACACTTAAGTCTGGTCCCTGTTTTTGAACATATTCTGTCACTCACCATTATAATTCTCCCCCACGCCAGGGAGGTCCACAATTGTGTCAATATCGAGGTCCCGCAACAACTTCTCCCCGCCTATTCCCGATCGCTCCAAGATTCCAGGAGACCCGAAAGCCCCGGCCGAAATGACGACCAGTCGACGTGCATGGACAGTGTGGATCTGCTGCTTATCTCCTGCCTCCGACCCATGCTTAGAAACATACTCGACGCCAACCGCGCGCTCATTCCTATCCAAACAAGCGCATATAAGTACCTTCACGAGATCTATGGAAGATTATGATTACTTGAAGATGACCCGCTTGACAACGTGCTCGGTGGCGACAGTTAGCTTTGTGGAATTCAACAGCTTGTGCAAGTAGTGATGCGGCACATCCTGTCGTCTCCCGTTCGTGGCGTCAATCCATCTGGAAGAACGTGAGTGCTGTCTTCACACGTGTTGGCTCACGACGTACTTTGGCCAGCGCTGCGAGTGACATTCATAAATGTTTTAGCGATGCAGGGCCAGGAGCAGGAACCCACCCCATAAACATTGCATTCAGTCATCGCGTTGACATCGTCTGTGCTGCCGCGCTCCGGGTCATACATGGCCGCGACGTCGAGAAATTGCCTTTCCAAGTTTCCGAGATACCCTCCCCAGGATACCTTGAGCGGACCAGAATCGCCATGCGTTTCCTTTCCTGACTCGATCTGGTATGTCTCCATCTATTATACTGGTCTGAACATCTTATATGCTTTGGTTGCGATTGGCAGATGTCGCACCTTACGGAAGAGCGGTAGGAGATCCTTATATCCTCACCCTTTGTTGTCATGAACGTTCTCCCATTCATCATAGTCGGAGGCGCAAGCCCTCGCATACATCATCCCTGCCGCAGGTACAGTCAAGAAAATCGAGAGCAAAGCACGATGGCATACAGTTAACGCTGGACCCTCCTCCCAGACACTGGGCGGTTGGGACAGTAACCGACCGTCCATCAAGGTATTCGCTTCCCTTGCTAGCGTAGAACTTGATGGCGGTGGTGTCAGGACGCATATGGCTGCGATATCGTGCCGGCTGGACATGCGCGACGCCATCTTGCGTAGACGGGCCGGCTTCAACGATGAGGATGCTGAGATCAGGAAACTCTTCTGCCAGCCGGCTTGCGAGCACACAACCACCTGTGCCACCTGCGAACAGATTTGAAGTGCGTTCCGAGGGTACACCAAGTGATTGATCTGTCACTTACCTCCAGCTACAATGATATCTACCTCGAGTCCTGCAGGTTGGTTCATGCTGAAAAGGGGGGGGGGGGCTGCCGGACGACGGCTCTCGTTCATTTCCTGGACTTTATAGACCTACGCGGTTGGGCTCGTTTCCACTGTACCGGTCTGCGCAGCCCGTCATGCGGCGTCAAGTCTCTCGTTCGTCATCGATGGGAGCAACAGTGAAGCGATCAGCTGCTCAAACCACTCGCCCATTTACTGCAGCCGACTGTCTAGGTTCGCTACTATCTACCCACGCCAAATTCACCGCCGGAGACGTTACAACCATATGGAGCACGCTTTAACTGCTATGGAAGGTCGTGCACGCAATCTGTCCACGGGAGCCGATTAACGGAGTATGCTGGATTGCGAATCATCATGCTCTGCCCTCAGGTGCCTCTTCGTGCCGTCATCGACGTACCTTGAGCTGATCGGTGCATTGAATGTCCCATTAGTCCTCCGGCTAACTAGACTAATTGCATCTTCTCGGGTAGTCCCATAAACTCTGCTGATTTACGGCGCGCTATCTGCTCATCGCACCAATTTATCGCAACGTTGGCTTGATTGTGGCCTGGCTTGGGATACAGGCATCGTATGAGTCAGCAAATGATGCAGTGGCGGAGAACAGAGAGGCCATGCTAATCACATCAGCTGGATCCGAAGACCCTTTGACTTTTTTTTAATCATCATCGAATGCCGAACGTCGTAAGACTGGGCCACACGACGGTATGAACTTCATCGCGGAAGCACGCATCATTTTTTAATATACGCAGGAAGCTAAGGGTAGAATAGGCTCAACCTCGAGAATTCATGTATCTATTGCACCGACCACAGCGATGAACTCGACTGTACTGTGGCTGGGAACGTTATGCATCAAATCGACGTCGCCAATGCCAGTCTTCACATTCATAATCCAGCCACATCAATCTTGATACGGATGGACTCGATTGAAGCAGTGCTGCTGTATGAAGTGTTGCGTCAGAGGCTTCTCGCAGTCGATCGGACCTGAATATACTGCGTCGGGCCGACGACTTCAAAGCCTCTTATGCAGTACGTGAACCGCATGTCGTTATCAGATACCCTCGTGAGCAGAATTGTTCCCGTAGCGGCGCATTCTTGATCTCTGTGCATCCTCGCTCGCTTTGACTGGGATGGTCTCAAGGTTCCTCTTACGGAGTCAAAGAATCAACAGTGGATGCACGCATAGAATTCGCGGGTCATCCGTTACCGGCATGGTTGCCTTCTACGCCAAACCTGCAACGATTCAATGAGGAACGTCTCGAATTACGAAGACAGTTATCCGGGGAACGAGTACCTGCCTCCAGAATGGTTGGGCCGGCGATGTCTAAGATCTTTTAGACCAATTGATCCAACCAGTTTACCATACAATCCACTGTACTTTCGTACGGCTCTGCTGGAATTAGGACATTCGATGAGCGATTAGGCGAGAGCCGACATGCTCTCGACGCCACAGACGCGAAAACGCGACTCGTCACGCGTGACCGAGTACTCAACTTCAGGCCAGCTAGCGCGAGCTTTTGTTTTCGGACTACAAGCATATTCAGCACTTGCACCGTCCTGTAAAACCCTTGAGGTGAGCGAGAAGCGACATATAGATTCCTAGTTTGGAATGACCTATGATCAGCGAGCTTGTCAAAACGAACAGCGATGAGAGCTCGGGTAGGTAAGCGGCATGATGTTCGTGCGATGACGATAAACGACAGCAGCTAACAGTCGACGAATGATCCCAAAAACAACAATGCAAATGACAACTGAAAGTAACGAAAGAATCCTGGCTGACTATGAACATATTGTACTCTCCAGCCCCGCCTTACTGACTCGCCGCAGCGGCTGAAGCGTCGCCACATCGACAGGCGCACGACGAGCATGTCTGTATCGTCCACTCGCATCCTTGATCTCCATCTCTTGGCCAGAGTCGCCAATCGCGGCTGTGTCATCAGCGGTTGGCACAGGAACGATGTTGAAAGAGTGTTCTCGCGTGAACACAGGTGGCAAACTCTCGCGCACGTTCTGCGGACGGCGACCTCCCAACACGACCTGGTAATTTGTGTTGAGGCCCGAGCTGGACGCGCTGCTGTCCTCACCGTCGTTCTCTCCATTGCCGGGGACAGCCTTGATCACGCCTACAGATTTGCCGCCAAGTTCTTGTTCCTCAAACGTCATTAGCTCAGAGACGAAGCCGATGTTGGGTGAGATGCCCTTTCGCCGCTCAAGGACGAAGGAATACGCCTTGGAGAGTGTCCAGTGGTTGGCGTGGATGAGGTATGCCATGACCGCCGTCACCGAGCGTGACTTGCCCGCCTTGCAATGCACGTAGGTAGGTGCAGAATGCAATCGAGCGTCATCTTAAATGGGCACGTGAGCGAACATACCGCATATACGAGACGGATACAATACCTAGCAGCTCGCAGACGTCCCGAACACCCCGCGTGATGTTGTCCTCCTCGACTGTGTCCCGCATAGGTATACGCACGTAGCGCTCAAACCGTTCGCGCAAGTGCAGTCCGTGGTCGTCGTCGCACTCGAAAGCGATGTTCAGGATGCGCTTCACGCCGAGGGACAACAACTCCTCTACATGCTCCTCAGCAGTAAGCTCAGGTCCAAGATATAGAAAGTTCGGAAGAATGGTGGAAACGGTGAATACAGGGTATGGATCCTCCTCGGTGGTGGGAGGCTGCGAAGAGTCGGGACGAGCAGTAGAAGGAGAGCGGGGCATGGGTGTTACAGGCGTGCGGGGTGTGCTGGACTGTGTGAACGATGGAGACGGAGGAGGGAGGAGCTCGCTGGAGCTATTGCTTTGAGGCGAGAGCAATCGCGCAGACTTAGGTGGAGAATTATTAGAGAAGGCTAGATTCAAATGCGACGGGGAACGCGACCGCGATCGTATAGACGATGAGTCGTGACCGTGCATCGGCGGGGCGGCAAGCGTAGCAGCCTTTGTCGGTACCGTGCGGACTTGCAATTTGGGCATTCCCGCATTGAGCCGTTCAGCAGAAGACGTGTCAATCTTGCGCAGCGTGGGGATGCTCGGCCGGCGAGGTGTAGAGGGAAGGGAGAAGATGGTCTGCGAAGGCGGAGGGGAGGGAGTGGCGTAATCTGCAAATTTAGACCATGGGTGGGAGTCCAAAGGCATGCCAACCGCTGGGGAGCTGGGCATTTGCTCCACCTCGGGGAGGTTCCTTGAATGGCCTGCCGACGCGACATCGAGCTGGAAGAGCCCGCCCTTGTTTCTGTTGTTCGTGGATAAGTCGTTCTGAGAAGAAATATCCATGCCATCATCTGTAATTATGAGTTGCTGCAAATAGGGGTGCTGTCGCGCGGCCGCTAAACCGCCTTCGAGATAATCTACACTGCCATTATCGAGCAGCGGCTGCACGACTTCCACCAGGACCCAAACTGTGGACTGTGGGTTGTGTCTGTCTTTTTCGTCCATCGTCTCGTCGTACAGGATCACATCACCGTCCCACTCTCCACTGGAGATCATATCATCCCATATTCGCTTGCCGTCTTCTGTTGTGATGTACTGATGTAACGCGTCAAAGTCATGAAACCCACCGTTCGGCTTGCGACACCGTTTCAGGATGAGCGATGGAATGGCCATGTTGATGCTCCTTTCCAGCCGACTAGACAAAAATGATGCAACCGGCCGTGTATCGATTAATATCGGACGATTTGAGGCGGAGAGGCGCGCAACGAGGACGGCAGGGTCCATCCCGCTCGCAGGCTGCAGCGTTTTGAGGGATGTATCGATAGAAGCGAGTCTCCACCGGTCTGTGTCAACATAATATGCACTGAGAGGAGTCGCCCTGAGCTCGGAGAGGGGGGTGAAGTAAGCACTGGCCGGACTTGCACTACCAGTAGGGCTTGGTGTGCGTTGATCTGAAAACTCAGACCACGCCGAGTATGGCGATGATGATGACTGTCGTGTGAACGGGGAGGACGAGGCGAAACCATGCACAGATGCGGCGGAGCGTAATGGACGCAAGCGAAGGTTCTTTTCTACGCTCTGGCGCAGTTGCTCGAGAGCTGCGAGGTCTTTGGAGAGATCATCGAGAGCGGCGTCCGAGTCGGTCTCGGCATTAGACGGATAGCTAGTGAGAGAGCTCGATGAGGACGAGGACGGCGAGGAAGACTGTAGATCAATTTCCTCCAAGTCGTCTACAAGGTCGACAGGTGTCACCAGCTCTATGATTGTGTTGCTCTGTCCGGGTCGTTTGATAGAGTCGACCTGCACAGTGAGATTCGGCGGCCTGCCTCTCTTCGCGGGAGGCATGTAGCTGGAGATGTACAAAAGAGAGAGACCAGCAAACGAGTAAATGTACAGCACGGCAGTTCAAAAAATGCGACGAGCAGTCGGGATCCAAAGCAACCAGGGGCCGAGGTGATGATGGTGAGTGTCGGGAGGGCACTGTGAACTCCAAACTAGGCTTCAACTTGATTGATGGTCGTCGCTCCATTTCAAATCAGCTCAAGGCTATCTGCAATAAATAACAATTAATAATGCAAACCAAGGGGCTTACCGAATTGGAATTTCGCGCACAAGACCCGCCACCGACGCCTGGCATGCAACGCGTTCCCGTTTTGCTCGTTACGGTCAACTGCAAAAAACCATCAAAAGACCATCCCTCCATCTCCAGTCCTGATGTCCCAGTTTTCCAACTTCCGCAGGTCCCAGCCCGCTCAAGATGCCCCCTCTGACAAGTACCGTGCGCAGGTCAAGCAACTTCAAGAAGCCTTTTCAGAATGGTCTGCCGAAGGTATGACGCCCGCCCTCGTTTTAAGTCGATCCAAAGTGCTCAACCAATCTTACAGATCTTCAATACGCATTGATTGAGGCGAACGGGGACGTTAACTCCGTAGCTAACGGGATATCCGAAGGTGTGCATGGTCGCGAATCTCCTAGCTTCAGTGCTGACGCGCGCTTTCTAGGTCGTATCCAGACATGGGGTTCTGTGAGCCGTAAGAAGGATAAGAAAGCTGCTGCCGCACACACTCAGTCGAAGGATGCATCCTCCCCAAGGGAGCGTGGTGAATCACGCGGCGGGAGAGGTGGACGCGGTGGAAGGGGTGGTCCGGGGCGAGGCGGTGCTGCTCGCGGTTCGTTCGCTCGTGGAGGTCACCACGAGACCAATGGCCACCGATCCAAGCCCTCACAGTCTGAAGAGGTAGCGGCGTCGAAGCAGGCTGAGGGGGTTGCTGCTTCCGATGCCTCTGCTCTTCCCGCAATGACAAATGGGACTCCCAAGCCTGCCGAAGATGCTGTGCACGAGCCAGCAGCATCGATGGTGAACGGGAGTGCTGAAGCTGGCTACGCAGACGCAGCTAGCCTGACACCATCTACGTCTGCATGGGCGAACAACACATCAACGTGGGGAGGTGACACGACTACTAATGGACTAGCAACTCCTGCTCAGCATGCGCATGCTGCACCCACAGCACAACCGGCACACCGGATTGTCACCCCAAAGGTTGCCGCAAATCCTGCGACGTCGAAGAAGTCGTGGGCAGACATTGCACGGTGAGTCACTCATTCTAACATGCAGTGTGCGCAACTTCTCATTCCTTACAGCCCTCATGAGAAGCCAGCACTACCACCTGTTCCCGTGCCTGCGCCTGTGCCCGTACCTACATCTTCACTTCCGTCTGAATCTGCCCCCAGTCCCACCTCTGCAGCAGCTCCGTCGCCACCAGCGGTGCATGCTGCCGAGGCGACATGCGCACCCTCCGCACCCCGAGCGGAATCCCCGTCAGAATCAGTGCAGCAAGGATGGGAGGAGCCTACCACCGTGCAGCCACCTCCGTGGGATGATGAGCCCTCTACACGACCTGCGGCAGAGTCATGGACAGGGGAAGTTGCGACCGCTGTACCTGAAGAACAGAAGGCCCCGACTACAGAAGTTAAGGTGGTACCCGAGCCAGCAGCAGTACCCGAGCCGACGCCTTCAGCCTTGCCCGCCCAAGTGCAGCGATCGGCCCCGGCACACGAGCCGGTTGCTGCACCTGCTAAGCCCCTCACGCCTGCGGCGCATACACGTCCGACATCTGGCGTTCACCGCGTCAGCGCGAAGTTCAAGACGACCGATCAGGCCGTCGTCATGCCAAGCTCGAGTTTCGGGACGGGAATTGAGAAGATTGGTATGCAATTCGGCAGTCTGAGCTTGGGAGGCGATGATTTGGATACGGAGAGGTATGTTCGGCATCCTCTGGTGAATAATGCTCTTCTGATTGCTCGCTTCAGTCACGAATCTTCTGCCCCTGAGCCGATACCTGCGCGAGCACCGGAGCCGCCAAGCGCGCCGGAACCGCAACTCGCCCGCCCTGTCCCTGCGGTGTCTACTTCTGCACCAGCACCCAGCGCACCGGCACCGCCGCAGGAGGCTCCTGCGCCTGCAGTTGTCTCTCCTCCGACTCAGACTTCCCTCAACGTGGGGCCTACACTGTTCCAGCAGGCTATTCCTCAGCAGGCACAGGCCCAGGCTCAACAGCCATCCTCCATTCAGACTCAGCACTCCTTGTCCTCCTCACTCTCCCAGTCTGCAATCCCCACCCAGGCATCCATCCAGCCCTCGACTCCCTCTTCGTCTTCCATCTCACAGTTTTCGTCCCAGGCACTTCCTCAGCAATCATTATCTAGCCATCAACTGTCTCAGAGCCAGTCGCAACCGCAGGTTCATTCTCAACACCAGCAGTATCTCCAACACAGCCTTCCTTCCCACCTTGAACAGAACCAGCCTCAGCATTCTGCGTCCGTTCCGCAGACCTCGCAGCAGAACATCACTCCGTCCTACTTCCGCCAGCCAGAAGCGCCTTACTTCCATACTCCTACCCCTCCCGCGAGCCAGTCGCAGGAAAGTGCTTACGGTTCGTTCGGTCAGTTGGCTCAGCAGGTGCAGCACCAAGGCCAGGGCCATCTTGGTGGGTTCGGAGGAAACGACTACGGATACGGAGAGACCCAGAGGGTATGCTTTCCTTCCTGTTACAACCTTTATTGCCTTCTAAGAGGGTCTTCTATTACAGCAGAACTTCTACGATTCGTACTCTGGCCAGAGCGCCTTCAGCAACCGCAACATTCTGAGTGGTCACGATGACATTAAGGGGCTGCCCGCTGCACAGCAGCAACCGCACGGTGCGCCTGGTTTGCCTCCTGCGAGCTCACAACCATCCCAACAACTCGCGCCTTCCTCTCAAGGTGGGAACCAGTCGCAGCCGAACGCCGGCCAGGGCCCCCAGCAGAGTTACCCGCCACCGCTGCCATACTACTACCCTTACCCGCAGAACCAGTACTACGGCTCGCCTTACAACTCCGGCTACACCGTGCCCCAGCCCTTCGTCAAGTATCCCACTGTTTTCCAAGCTGGCCCGCCCGGTCCACAGTCCGCGCCGTCGCCCGCCACCAAGCAGCCGCCGAGCTCCGTCCAGCCTCAGTCGCCCTACGGCCAGAGTTTGTACGGACAACAGCACCCTTCGAGTGCGTACGAGGAGATTGGGTACCAGCACCACGCACAGCACTCGCACGGGCAGAGCGTCGGCAGCGGCTTGCCGTCGACCGAGTACGGCAAGTCGCTGTATGGTGCTGCTGGTCAGGGAATGCAGGGCTTCATGGGTCTTGGGCAGTCGACTGGTCCGTCTTCTGGTCCTCCTCTCGGACAACGCGTAGGAGGCGCTTCCCCGGAGGCTGTCTACAAGCCATACGGTGGCAGCAGTGTGGGTGTGAAGGATGTTGGTGTGGGACAAGGCGGCGTTGGGCAAGGCCCGCAGACGAGGGGCGGCGTGCAGCAGCCGTCGCAAGGGGGCTTCTACACTCCACAGCGGTTCGGCGCGAGCGCGTCTGGTGTGCCACAGAGCCAGCAGGCGCAGCAGCATCAAGCTCAAGGCCAAGGTCCGCTGGGCTACCCTCAGGGCGGCTCTGATGCAAACGCTTTCTATTCATACCAGCCGAGGCAGCAGCAGGGATATTGGCAGTAGGTGCTGAGGTAATGTCGACTTGTGGGTTTTTTGCTACCAGTAGTGTGTGTGCTTCGTGAGTCAGTCGAACTCTCTGCTTGATGCACGATGTCTTAGGCTATCGTCTCTTTCTCATTCATCTTGCTCTCCGGCTTTCGTCTCTCCATCGCGTCCTCTTTTTTATTCAGTCATGCGTCTCATCGTTTCAGATCTCAGCCCCTCCTCATTCTGTATATCTACTACGTACCGATAGCTACCAAAAATGCCTGGTGGTAATGACATCCCTGCAGACAAAAGATTGATTTGGCAGTGGCAAATGATAAAGTCTATTGCGTGATTATACATGATCAATTAAACGACGTAGATGGTGATTATGCGAACTAAGTTTTCTTGAAGAAACCAGTGGTCTTGTTCGAAGAAGGCCTCCTCTCCAGTCGCGGCTTCTTAGGTGAAGTCTAGAGATCATTCGTCCTGCGAAGAAGACTACTAAAAGAGGTTCGCTCACCTTCGATGGCTTTGCAGCCTGACGGGCATGCTAAAATCATCATGAACGCATGGCTACGCCTGCTGAATGCTGTTTGCGAACTTACACTAGAATGAGGGCTCCCAGCAGGCTTTTCTTCAGCCTCAGACGTCGTCTCCTGTGCATGACACAGACATCAGTCCGTTATGTGGGCCCGTACGAACCGAACACCGAAAACATACCTCGTATACAGAAGTGGAGGGCTGACCGCTGCTTTCAACGTCTGTATGTTCATATTCGGCGTTCGTCCTCTCCGTTTCGGGTTTCGTATGGGATTTCTTGGCTGCAGACTTGTGTTTCGTTGGGGTTACAGGCATGACTGGCGATGTGCTCCTCTTCCTTTTACCCTTACCAGGAGAAGAAGTGATCTGCTTTTGACGAGCGAACATGGCCTCGATGCCATCTTTCCTCGCCCCTATAGGCTGTATGAAGCTTGGAGACTCGTTACCGACCTTCCCTACCTCCTTCGGGACTTGGTAACTAGCGGGACCTGAGTTGAGAGGATAGTTAGTCGTATGTGAGCTCACCACTCGAGGGGATAGTCGGGGTAGTGGTACGGCTGCACGAGTTTGGTGAGGTCATCGCTCCATTTTTGCGACGAGGTATCGAGCCATGTGTTGAGCGCTTCGAGGGAGGGAAGGATGACCGGCTGTCTGTCGTGCAGCCATTGGAAATTCTTGGTGGCATCTGTGGTGATAACAGTGAACGTCCAAAGGGGCTCGCTCTCTTCTGCACGCAAGGAACCATTAGCCAGGAAAGCCGCGCGAATGAAGGTCTGGGGAGCAACCTTCAACGAATGACTTGTCGTAGAGACCAGCAAGTAGCATAAGGTGGCCGTTCTTATGTTTCATAAAGTGGGGAAGGCGCTCATTGCCCTTCTTTTGCCATTCGTAGTATCTGCGCTTTGCCCGATGAAAAGTGAGCTAGCATCAGAATGCATACAACCGTACCCTTCGCAGATGACAGCACAGCGTCGCTTTCCTCTGATGCTTGCCCATATCCCTGTTCCCTCAACAACGGCCTCGTAGCGAGCATTAAAGGTGCTGTAGGAGAACTGCTCATGCTTGCTCCAGTGAGGCACGAGTCCCCATTTCATGGTCTGCAGAATGAGTTCATCAGACTGGCCGTCCTCGCTGTTCTCGCTCGGTTCTCTCCTGCGCAGAACAGGTGCTTGGGAGCGTGGTGCGATATTATACCTGTAGATATCGTCAGATAGCAAGCTCACAAGCTGGGATATCGTGGCGCATACCGAGGCACAAACTGATCCTGGCCTATCCATTCACCGACGTGGACATTGTAGCCGTGTAATTGTTGTATCTCGGCGTGCTACGGAAAGAGGCTCAATCGTCGTCGTCTTACTACGCGCATATACTCACAGAAAGATTCAATGAATAGCGGCCACACATGAGGAACGATGAGCGCGATGACGAGAGAGCGATCGACAAGGGCGGCCGCGGAGATGAAAATATTTGTGGCGGCACTTGAACACGAGATCCAACTACGACTGCCGACGACTACGAGCCTCAACAATCCTGGGCTCATGGATGGAGGCGCAAGGAAACTGCTCGAGACCGTCACTTTCGAGACTCTTCATGCCAACAACTTCTCTCGCTCGTCAACACAGGCCAGCCAGGTCCTCACAGATCTCCTTGTGCGCTATCTCGCGCTCCTGACGACTACATGCGCCAAGTACGCACAACACGCCGGCAGGCTCAGTCTCTCCGTTCGCGACGCGGTCTCTGCGCTCGACGAACTCGGTGTCGGTGTGGACGAACTCAGTCAATACTACGCGACAGATGGGAGGGATCTATCGCGGTATGCCATCCACACAGCGAGGAGAATGGAAGACCTGGGCGAATTCAGAGGTCAGCCAGGTTGTGCTCGGTGCCCTGGTCATCTTGATTCAATCCGTTATAGCCGCGCTCGCGACTGGCCTACGGGTAGACCGCGACGACGCGATATCATTGTTCTACGGACGCGTTCCCAGCCCAATGTTATCAGAAGAAGAGTATGAGGATGAAGAGTTGGGTGAGAGCGAGGAGGACAAGGAACAGGAGGAATCGACGGAGGCCCCTGAATTATCATCTGAAGGTCGTACACAGGAAGACGCGATGTCATTGAAACGCAAAGCTGATGACTCTACAATACCGCCACTCTCATCACCGAAATTACCACCGTCTCCAATTTCCAACCCTTCTACCCCTCCTCGCAAACGACCACGAACAGCCAGCTGGAGACCGCCATCATATGTGCCTGACCATCTTCCTCCTTTCCCCACCAACTCTCCTGCACATTCTCCTTCGCCTGCGCCACTTGATCTTGCTGTGGTCCCGAATCCCATCAAGGTCGAACGCCTTGCGACGCCGCCTCCTTCGCAGATAACGCAGTCTGCATCATCCGCTGATTACCTCACTACTGTCCCATATGAGCAATCCACACTTGCTTCGTTGCCATCGTGGCATCTCCCAACCACGCCTTCTAGCCCTCCTACGAATGGTATGCAAACTCAGTCACGCTTGCCGACGCCACAAGTCCAGCCTGCCCTTCTGGGAGCATACCACCATGTCTTAACGCATCCGCCGCCACCGCTGGTCACCTCTGTCAATCCTGCACGATACAGAGTCGCGCTCGGATTCCTAGCGCAGGCAGAAGCCCAACCACGGTGGGATCCCACGCCGTCATTATTCTCAACAACAGCTCCGAATGTCCCACGTGTCGCCGCGATGGGTCCTTCATTCCCAGTGCAGGTGTCGAAAGGGCCGCCGACACCGACTGAAGTGAAGAACGAAGAAGACAAGAAGTCCAACCTTCCCTTCACGCCGCCTAAACCTGTGGCCTCCACAGAGCGTATCACTCCTCTTCTCAGCTTGCAGACGTCACGGATACCGACTTTGGCCCGCCAGGTGCTATCGGTGAGTGCATGGACGTGGAGATCTCCCTTTGTACGAGCACATATTCAAATGCATCCTCGCAGGGACCTGTATATTCCCGCGTAACGCGCCTGACACATCCGCCTGTTCTGCAACGCGGCACCCAGCGGCTCGTATATGGGCCTGGGGTCAGCGCACCGTGGAACACCAATGCGCCGCCAACACCACCTGCCCCGCCGAATGCGGGAAAGGGGAAGGAGGGCGTGAACGGCGTGTCGAAGGATGCAGAAACGCCTTCAAAGCCGCTTCCGGACGCACGACTGTATGCCACGTGGGACTACGAGCAGAAGCGGTTCCACGAGCCTCTCATCGTGCGGAGGGGTAGAGGGAGTGTACAGGCGGGGGTGAACATGCCGCCTCTAAGGAGCAGAGGCGAGAGCAGGACGAGCTGAATTTGGACGAGAGACAGACTGTTCATTCGTGATCGGAGCATTGTTATCGATATCATTGCTGTTGTCGGCAGTGTATAAATATTCCACCGCTACTATTGCTATAATTACACTGCAGAATTCCCGAGACACCGCCGCCGTCGAGAAGTGGCATGCTAGATTGATTGAGGACCGAGCTGACGGATGTGATAGTCACTATGGCACTGGCCGCATGGGAAGGTGCACAAAAAGCAACGCTCGAGATGGCCGCCGCACCCTGCTCTTCCTTGTTCCTTTCATTCACTGCTCCTCTGGTAGGACGACCTCTCATTGCTTATTGATCATCTTTTCTTCTTTCACTACGGAGTCGCGATGCTTTCGTTTGTGTATACCATCTTCCTGCTGTTCACTGTGCTTGCGAGCCGAGGTACGTTTATGCTGATTTTGCAGGGGTTGTTGCTTCTAATATTGTTTTTGCAGTGCTTGCTCTGAACATTACTGTTGGTGGGACCGTCGGGATTGTCCCTGCCAGCGAGTTCCTTACGGTGAACGACACCTACCTCACCACTACCGTGAGTAACAAGACCATTACGACCTCATCATCGTGCTAACGTCGAGCCACACACAGTGCCAATCACAATGCACGTCCGCGCAAACTGCTATCACGGTACGCCAGCATCGCATACGAGCAGGATTCAGACTGACGACATTTGCAGAGCTGCGGCACGAGCAATAGCTGCCTGTGCAACAGCACGACGGTCACTCTCATCACCAGTTGCGAGCAATGCATGTTCGACGCGTTGATCGCAGAGGACCTCCCGATGCCCGATCCGAGGGCGGGCTCCGCCACCGCGCTGACCGGTACGTGCCAGATCTCTGCAAGATTGCTTTGCGAACTGGGCTAAAGTCGCATGCGTAATGCAGCCTACTCAGCTGCGTGCTTGTCCGACGCGAACGTCACCGTCCCTACCACGGAAATCGCTCTCACGCTGCCATCTGACTGGGATGGCCCGTTCGGCCTTCACCTTGGCATTCCTGCCACTATTTTCACCCTAGTGGCAGCTACGACAATCGGCAGCGGAGCGATTTGGGTGATCTGCACCATGTAATGGCGGATTCTGTTGCGTTTCGACTCATCTTTAGCTGTATATTTTGCAGCTGAACACCCTTGACTATATATGCATTTCTTGTGTGTTGACCAACGTTGTATGCGTAAATATCGGTGTAGACATGGGCACTCTACTTCCACTTGACAACTACATTGTCTTACCGAGTGCACATGACGTGAAGTACATGAACAGCTGGTGACATCAAAGTACATGCACGAATTGGTGGGTACTACTACGACGACTGCTCAGAGAAAGGTAAAAACGTGTGATAAGGAGAAAGATAGAACACCGAGATAAGGATGCGCGCGACCTTCAATCGTCCAGTAAGCCTCCCTGCAGATGCACCTTTGAGTGACGTAAGACTCACAAATAACCTAAGAACCTTTGGGAGCCTCCTTCCAGGAGATGGCCTAGAGAGAGACGTTAAGACGAACGCCATCTTGTGTAAGAATGACGCACCTGCTCCTCGCCCATAGCACTGACAATCGTGACAAGCAGATCCTTTCCCTCATCGAAAGAGGCGCTGATCTGCTCGCCGAGCTCACCCTCCGGCACTTTAACATCATCCTTGGCGGTTCCATCCTGAGTCATCAGGTTGAGGAAACCATCATCGATGTTGACCTATTGGCAATGATGAGTCGTCCAATCAACGGCAATCAATTACGTCAAGGAGTACTCACAAGCTGATATTCGTTACGGAAAACGTTAGGGACATCCATGTTGTGCGTGGAGGGAGAGATATCCTCCTGTAAATCGTTGATGCTTATGAGGACATTGCACACGCGCCTAAACGCTCTTCGCCGTGACTTACCAGCTTTTTGCCGGTGAAAATCTGCAATCAAGTAAACAACGGCAGCGAAAGGAACAAAAAAAGGAAACGTACATCAATGCCAACAAGATGGACCTTGGCGTGCCCATGCTTGCCGGTCTTAGAGGTCGACATCTCAACGATCTTGCAGGGGCGGCCTGCCACCAGAATAACGATAAGCCACGAGAATTACACACGATGCGTCCATCTAACCTTTTACCACAACGTGCCCGTTCTTCCGAAGAGCGGAGCATTGCATAGGGAACGTCAGCGAGGCCCCGGCGCTGGCCTAGAGAGGACGGCAGGTAAACGCGTCAACAAGGCAAGTCATGATGGAGGGCGGCGGTGCAGCACGAACCTGTTCGAAATTGTGGTTGTGCTGCTCATCGTCGGACATGATGAATTCCTAAGAGTGAAAAAAGAGAGAGACGGAAGGAGAGCGTGTCTAGATGGTCTGGGGAACGAGGACGGTGGAGGTTAGGGCACTGGAAAAAAGTGGTCCTCATTAAATTTGTAACTCCGGACAACCCGTGGGAGAATCCGGTAATCTCCGGCCGTCACCGCCACCCGGACGGCATGGGACCGAAGTCACGTGTATTCAATAGGACTTCCGTGGTGCGTCGGATAAGCGCTGAAGCTGCTACCCTGCACCATGCCCTCATTCGGCGGTACTCCCCTCTGCGCAAGATGCGGCAAAGTGGTCTATGCCGCGGAACAGGTATGTGGTTAACATTCACAATGTAGCCGTGCTTGACTTGTAGCGTTCAGACTATGGGACCAGGTCGCAAGGTAGGATGATGGCCGAATCTGCAGCCACCGCAGTCATGCTAACGTTACTCGTGCAGATATACCATAAGGTAGTCTAATCAATACATTTGAATCGCCGTTGCTCACCCTCTTCAAGCCATGTTTGACGTGCACCTCTTGCGGCAAGCGATTGGACTCTTACAGTCTGTTAGAACACGACGAGGAGGTGGGTGCCTGAGTCAGTTCCGTTACGTCATGCTCATGCACAGTTCATGCGCAACTCGCGTTGCGTAGCCTTACTGGTGCGCATTCAATGTGTTTCACGATTGATCCCAATGATTCACATATATAATGCAGCAAGAACTGTCATGTCAAGCTGTTTGCTATGCAAGATCTCAGGCTCGCTAACTTGCCGAACCGCGACGAGGTATTCCTCTCGCCTTCGTCCCCCACGACATCCCCCACCCGTCGCATCGCGGTCCTACCTACTCGAACTGGATCCCCGCCGTTGCATATGGACAGGCCGCCTTCCTTGCCACCTCGGCGGCACGGCGGGTCTTTAGACACGCCTACTTCGGCTATGTCGTCTTATTCGCCGCGAATGCGGCCTGCTCGCGCATGGAGTCCCGTACGAGATGGTACAAATGAGGGACCAAATGATGAGCAGCGGGAGGAAGAAGAGGTCAAGGAGCAGCTCGTTGTGCAGAACGATGACTTTGGCTCGACCGCTACACATACTGGCCGCAGCTCGACGGGCTTCCCACGGACCGTACCCCTCAGCCCTATTCGCAACCGCTTCAGCACCATCTCCGTCAGCACCAGTCAGTCCGTCTTCGACGCCGGCGCGCCAGAGTACCCCGACGTGGGATCCCGGATGAATGTTCCCCTGCCGACGCACACGGGCACGCGGTACGGGGCTGCCCTGAGCGGTGCGAGCAGCATTCCGGTATCACCTGCGGCAACGGGGAGGCAGTGGGGAGGGACCCCGCGGTGTCCCAAGTGCGGGCAGGCGGTGTACTTTGCGGAGCAGATCAAGGCAATTGGGAAGACTTATCACAAGGGCTGCCTCAGGTGCACGGAGTGCAATACCCTCCTCGACTCGACTAGACTGAACGAGCGGGACGGAAACCCGTTCTGCAATCGCTGTTACAGCAAGGTGAGGATGAGGACAGTTTTCGGTGAGAGTTTTGCTGACTAGGTGATCGTCCCGTATCTCTAGCTCTATGGGCCTCAAGGGAGCGGCTATGCATTATTGGGCAAAGCCGGCGCATAATGGTGCTGCTCTTCTCCCATTCCACGCGTCTGCGACGCGGGTCTGTTTTGATTGCTATCTTTATCCATTATGTTGACAGATGTAACACCTTGTAAAACTTCCGTCGGACCTGTAAAGCTTCTCTCCTATGACTAGAGGCTCTTATTTTCGGACTCGAATGATTTCATTACCCACGCTATGTTTGCTTCATGATACGTTAATCCATGTACGGTACACTTACTATAACTACGGAACGTACACTGCCTGGAAACACTCACAGCGACAACAACTCACGCGTAGATGACCAATCTGCCCTCGCCAACTCTCCACTCGGCTCGGGCATTGTCGACGTCGAGGTCTCGCTGACGCTTAAGTGTCAGCGCCTGCGCGGCAGATGCATCGGAGAGCTTGGCAGCGTCGCTGATCTGCGCATCGGAGAGATCAAGGTTCAAGTCAAGAGCATACAGAGGAGGTGCGTCCAGCATCAGCCGCCGGGGCTCGAGGTCGAGCGTTGCAGCGGGAACATGGGAACGCGTCTGAATGCAAGAACACCAGGATCAGTCACCCGAGGTGAGAGGCGAGTGAGGGAAGGAGTAAAAGGAAGACCCACTAGGTCGGGGACCTGCAGGACAATTTTGACAGTGTCTGCTTCTTTCGCCCATGATAACTCTGGGATCGCCCGCGCTTCGGTGGATACAGGAGATGACGCACTCGGGCCCGCAAGATGCTCATCTGTAGACTTTACTACAGTAGCATCGAGCTCTTCGATGAGTTTTGGGCGCGATTGCGTGCGGGGCGGGGTAGTGCTACGCGCGGGATGACCCTCAGGGAAGAGCACCGCCGGTATTAAGGCGATGCGGGGATGCAGCTCGCCCTTGAATTTGATGTTGGGCGTCCCGACCTGTCGGGAGAGCGCGAAGGCGTATTGAGCCTCTATGCGTTGAAACGCAAGCTCTACCATAAGGGAGTCAGACGGCGACTGAGGTGCGAAGGACGCGGCGCTCGTACCGATCAGAAATGTCTTGAACTCGGGATCCTTCAGAGCGCGAGATTTGAGCGAGGAGTGGAACAGACAGTCAAACACAACGGAAAGTTTGCCCGCTGCAGACGGTGTTGGTGGGTGTCAACAGATCGCTCCGCATCGCAACGCGAGGGCACCGCCGCGTGCGCTGGGAGAGGAAAGTGGACATCACGATGAGATGCGAAGGCGTGCTTACCTTTGTCGCGGTCTTCACGCGGGTCAGATACCACAAGGGGAACGAACCATCCCTTCTCGTTATGTTCGCCCGGCTCGTCCTCCCCGGTCATTGCCCTCTGAATGGCATCCTCCGAACCCTCTGGTGGAGGGGGCACGTTGCGGTCCCAGGCGATGTTCACAAATATTTTTACGCCCTTCGGGATGGAGATAGTGGCAGAAACGGCAGAAGGACCATCTAGTTTGGAGGAGGGTTCCCGGAGGGGAGGAGTGAGTTTGCATACAGCCGCCTTGAGCGCGATGGACTTGACGCAAAACCCGGGAGAAGGCGATAAGGAGACCTTGATCGTGTTCATAATTCAGTTAAGATGAGACTGTTGTACGTGCGCAGACGGGAACGACGGCGGCAAGATTGTGGCACAGAGGAAAAGGCAGGGATGCACCGCGCTCCGCGCTCGCTCGGACAGATCTGTCCATGCAGTGAAGCGGCAGTGACTCGACCCCGACTCTGCCTCCATTTTTTTCTTTTCTCTCACCCTCTGGACGCCGTATAAAACAGAGACCAGGCCGGCCCCTCGTCTTTCCAGCAATCACCCACTTCTACACCGCCCATCAGTTCTAACGAGATTCCCTGTGCCACTGACGATATGTTCAAGAACGACAACGTTGTTACTCCCGTCCCGGACGACACGGAGAAAATTGAGAGATACATTCAGGACCGTCGAGTCATCGGTGTGCGTGTTTTCGCTGTATGCATCTTGTTCATACGTCTCATGTTATGTGCAGTATGACCCTCTAGTTCAGCCGGCTCTGCTGCGGCATGAGATTCAGTCCAGTGCTGAATCACAAAAAACGATCGCCTTGGCACGCTACAACGCTGCACGGATCCTTGCTGGACAGGATGACCGAGTGCTGGTCGTTGTGGGGCCATGTTCGATACACTCGCCTGAACAAGCCCTCGAGTACGCGAGGCTGCTCAAGTCGAAAATCCCAGAGTGGAACAACCTGCTCATCATCATGCGGGCGTATTTGTGCGTCTTCTTTCTATGCTTCCTCCCTCTCGCACTCATCGACGGCGGCCTCGACAGCGAAGTAAATGCATTCCCAAACAACTTGACCGACTGAGCGGTAACTGACTTGCCCGCAGAAACCACGGACAACGGTTGGCTGGAAGGGGCTGATAAATGACCCGGACATTGACGGGTCATTCAAAATCAACAAGGGCCTGAGGCTTGCGCGGCAACTTCTGTGCGATCTGACGCACCTGGGTGTGCCTGTCGGGTCTGAGTTGCTGGACACCATCTCGCCGCAGTACATCGCTGATCTGAGCTCCTGGGGAGCAATTGGAGCACGGACGACCGAATCGCAGTTGCATCGCGAGCTTGCATCCGGCGTTTCCTTCCCAATTGGCTTCAAGAATGGCACTGACGGCAGTGTAGGTGATTTCACTATTGACAAGAGCCGTCGGTCTCTGACCCGCGAGCTGGCAGGTCACCGTCGCGGTCGATGCGATGCGCGCGAGTTCGAACCCGCACGCGTTCATGGGTGTCACGGAGCAGGGCTTGGCTGCCATCGTCAAGACACGCGGAAACCAGGTAGAGTACCCCTCTCTTTCTGCCATGCGCCGTACTCAATGATTGGACAGGACGTGCACGTAATCCTGCGTGGAGGCACTAGCGGCCCGAACTACACCGCGGAGCACGTAAAGTCCGCCGCCTCGGCCATCGAGAAAGCCCGCCCACACCATCACCCATCCATCATGATTGACTGCAGTCGTGAGTGTTCCACTACATCCACATTCGCAGATGGGCAACTCAATATGCATATCTAGACGGCAACTCGCAAAAGAACCACGAGAATCAGGCCAAGGTCATCGACGACATCTGCAAGCAACTCAACGCGGGAGAGAAGAACATCACTGGCGTGATGGTCGAGTCGCACATCAACGCTGGTCGCCAGGACGTCCCCCCCGAAGGACCGTCCGGCCTCAAGCACGGCGTGTCCATCACCGATGCCTGCGTCGACTGGGCAACCACTGTGCAGATGCTCGACAAGCTCAATGAGGTGAGTGCACGTCAGATGCCATCTGAGGGAGCGGTGCTCATCCGATTTTTCAGGCCGTGCGCCAGCGGCGGCTACGCTACATCGAGGCGGAGCTCAAGAAGCCCGCTGCCTTCCAGCGCGTGATGAATGCGTAGACGTCTGCACTAGATCCTGTATTGTCGTAACCGGTAGCGGTCGCTCCCATTTTGTAGCTTTGCTTGTAATAATGCCCATTGCGGAACATGTGTGATGGATGCCGCCTCGAGGCATCACCCAAATGTACTCCACTCCAAACGAACCCGCGTGGATCAGCATGAGACGAACGTCCTTTCTATTAGCTCGATGTCACGTCGCGCGGGCGATGTAGCTAGTAGCAGATCCTCCCTCGAAACGTAGCCTGTAGACTAAGGTAGAGTTCCTGTAAATAACGCAATACATAGATGTCAAGAGATTTCCATCGATACAGTGTCCTCGTTCCCGCGCCTTCCGCCGGTTCTATCCTGATTTACGAGTTTACACCGATTAAGAAAACAACAAGAGAAATGGAGGGCAGGCACCAGCTGCAACATTTTCAACCTTGAACGAAGCCACTGCACATGTAAGTCAGCGTGGACCTCTACGTACTATCGTCGAGTAGCGGTCCGACTTACCGCCCAATCCTTTGCTAGTGCAGGTTGGATCCATCAGAACTTCTTGGCGGGCGGGACGATCGCCGCGCCGGACGTTGACAGCGTCTTCGTCTCCTCGCCATCCATTTTCCAAATACTGTTCCCGGGCAGCGCAAACGACGACGACGATCCGCTGGTGCCGCGCAGCTTCTCTGCACGCGGGCGCTCCGCGCGCGCGTACCCGCGCAGCACGGCCTCGTCATACTCCTCCAGCGAGAGCTCCGCGGATGAAGTCGACGTCGACGGCGACAGGGATGGCGACTGCACGATCTCATGCAGGAACGACGGCAACAGAGTCGCCGTGGCCGGATTGCCGTCCGTCTGGTATATCGGGCTTGGATGCGCCTGCAAGCCGAGTGACGCCGAGCGTTGCGGATGAGGCGCCCAAGGCGAGGGAGGCGAGAAGGGCGACACAGGCGAGCGATATGCCATGCGCTCCGAGGCGGGAAGCAGCACGCGTGTGGCCTCAGGCAGCGGCGTGCTCTCCTGCTTCGTCACGCGGCTCACCTGCGTCGCGAGCACGTTTTCGAGTAGCGCAATCCGTTCTGCCTGAACGGTGGCTGAAATGGAGTCGCCATTTCCCTCCGCATCTGCCGCCAACATTAGGAGGGGAACATGCATAATTTATGAAAAATTACGCACACGGATAGCACGTCTGGCAGACCTTCCTGCGGCGCCAGTTGAGGTAGTGACACTTCTGGCAGATCCAGTCGCCGGGCTGCTTTTCTGCCGCACCCTTGTTGCCAGTATTGATGATGGGTGGGTACTACAGGACAATGAGATGTCAGCGGCGCAACAGAGAGGCTCATGAGCACGGCTTACTGATATCACGCTCGACCCCAGGGGGCGGATCTGCCCCTGCTCCGGTAGGGGCTCATTGTCCGGCCAATACATGATGCATGGCGTCATCGGATCGCCTGAGACGTTTTGCACGCGTCCGCCGATGCTCAACGCCCGACCAGAGGGCGTGAGCAACGGATACGGGCTGCAAGACCGCTGACCCGCCATGGGCGCTTGTTGTACGGAAGGCAGGCGCGACGCTAGCGAGCCCGGTGAACTGTGCGTACGCGAACGTTGCAGAGAAGGATGAAGCGGCTGCTGGACAGCAAAAGCGTCGTAGTGGGCCTGAGCCTGCGAAAACGAGGCGAATCGCGGGGAAAAGCGGTTGGCGGATGGGCCCACGTAGGATGGACTGGGCGGCTGCATTATGCCTTGAGGGTCTTCGTTACGGTGGCGGCCACAGCCAATGCACGTCGAGTTCCGTCTAATAGTGGAAGGACACCGAAGGAGCCGTGCGAGATAGTTGAATGACAAGTGGCGCCACAGAAATCAGCAATCGTGCGCGCCGAAATGACAACCTAGTTTGAAGGACTTACCCGAAGTTATGCGCGGCGCAGTTGGTTACTGTGCAACTGCAAGAGGGTTCGGGGATCTGAGAGTCGCGTGTATGATAGTATCATTGCACTCACATCCAATCTCCAACCCGGAAGCTGGTTTTGGGGTTCGGTGGGTTGCTGGAGATGGTGTAGGGCCCCGCAACACTATCTAGCACGGTTTCAGGCACGCTCAGCTCACGCATTGGCGAATCACGAGTGTGGAAGTGCGTAGACAGAGGGTAGAACTCCGGAGAGGCGGTAGAAGGCGTGCAGAAGTACTCCGCGAGCAAGGGGTGTGCGGCCCACTGGGGGGTTCCAGAAAATTGAATGCGGTGCCACATAACGAGAGAAACTATCAAGCGTACCGGGTACTCGAGTGGCAGACGCCGGGAACTGGCAGGGAGCTCAGGGTAGCTGCAGGAGAATGAGTGGGCGTGTGAATCGGTGCAGAGTGGCCTTGCAGAGGTCTTTGAAAATTAGAGTCAGCGTAGAGTACGAGATGGAGGTAGAAAGGAAGTCAAAGGACAGATTAGGAGTATGTACAAGAAACGAGGCTGGGCCCCTGAGCCGGAGGAAGCGCCGAAGAGAACTGAGGCGCAATTCGAGGACGGTGTACCGGCGGGGAGCGTTCAGGGATCGGGTCACGTTCTTGGATGCTGTGCCTGAACGTTTTGCGCACATCCCCGTTCGGGCATATGCACATCCTGGAATGGCCGGCGAACATTTTCGCGGGCAGTGGCGTGCCCGCAGGCGTGACAAAAGAATACGAAACCCACCTTTTGGCGCGACAAAGAGGATGAGAAGAGAGCAGGCTCGACCGCAAACGCGACGGGGTGCACGATCCCCGACTGCGACGCGACTTTTGAACATCGATCGCCTGGGGCGAAAATGAAATGCCGCACCTCCCCGCCAAGTCCGCGACCACCCGGCGCGCATTCGCTCAGATCGACGGCAGCGTCAGCATTTCTTTTACTTGTGCGGACGAGTTTGTGCGGCATCGTCGATGGCGCGTCGGGGTAGCGCACATGGCGGCCAGCGGCCAACAGATCACTCAGTCCCGGGTCCTCGATCTGCGGCCACAAAGGGACGTCGGCCGCTCGCTGAATATAAGGTAGATCGCGCAACATGGCCTCTAGACAAGGAACGTGCAACACAATCGGCAGCGGTGGCACGAGTGCGTAATGGAAGGTGCCACAGCGCGCACACGGCGTGGATGCCGTACGGGGGGTGGGAGGAAAGGCGGGGGATAAAGAGGAGGGGAAAACAACGATGTCGAGGAGGAGCGCATGGCGGGCGTTGAAGAGGGTTGGCGGAAGGGCGCCAGCTGAAAGCGACACGCGGATTCCTGACTTGTGCGACGAGAGGACATGAACGATGGGGGATCGTCGCCTCGTATGAGAGAAGCCACGCCCTCATTCAATCCCGCCTTCTCCCTCCCTATCCGTCGCAATCATTCTTCTTTCGTTTTAATTGCGCGCCTCCCCATCAGGCATCTCCTCTCCGACAACACGGTCCTCCCCGCCACTCGATAAGCATGCTTGTCTTCTTCGTCTAGCAGACAGTGGAGTATGTATAGATCAGTGTGAACATTGTACAGGTACTTCTTACATGTTATATCAAATGCCCTTAAAGCCAGCTATAAACTTAGGCATCAGCGGCATACCTTGGTCTTATCTATTACATAAAACAGCATGACTTTGGCTTCTGTTACAGACAAGTACACTACTATGAAAGATGAAACTGATACCAGCCTGAACTGCTAGCCATATGAACAATGGCATTTTCTGAACTTATTAGTCTGCACCCGAGAAATGGGCAATAGAGCTCAAATCATGATGATCTGCACTTTTGAGACAACAGTTGTATGAGGGACCACAACGAACAATATGATTTAAACTTTGAATCAGGGAAGAAAATTTAGAGTGAGCCAACAACTTTTTCTAAGTGCACGAGATTTGCCACATGAGCCCTTAAAATTGTCATGTAGATGGCCTAAAATGGCAAACTTTTCACACTGCACTGTCATTCAAAGGTATCATGTGGTTCTTGTCACTGTCCACCCTGCCATCAGCAAAAAGTCCGGAGCCCCATCTGGTATGAACTATCTCCAACGTGCATAATCTGCGACTGACTGTCAAATCTTTCAGATGACATATTGTTCGTTCAGATCAGTAACCTCTAACTAAACCCACCATCCCAGATCGGCCACCCATCGGTGAGTTGATCAGCCTTTCTGTCACCATGAAGTAGAAAAACTACAGATAGCACAGTTAACAATTATTTGTCAGAGCAATCAGTTGTGGCCTCAGATGGACATCAGACAGGGCCGATGAACGATTGTCCAGAAAGATTATTCATTATCAGACCCATTGTTTTGTAGGAACGTCAAAATATTATAATATTGATACAAATTGCTGTTAAAACTACTGTCTGATAAGTGAATGTAATAAAGCATGGCCAAAAGCATGTGGACACAGAGTGACTAGGACCTCGACCCACTTAAACATTTCATTGACAATGCCTAGGCCTTCTTCCACACCAATGAAGGGCTGCATGCATGCACTTGAGGGTAGACACCTGTCAGTCAACCTCTTCTTCATCGAGGTAAGTCATAATTCAGTTTATTGTCATGCCTACCTGAAATGCCAGTGAGAAATTACAATATATGAACTTATGCCACCACACCTGCAGAATTTGCACGATCTATGCTGGAATAACATTCAAAGGACCTTTAAATGCGAAAGAAAATTAAGCATCGAGCAGCCACTAAATTGTAGTCCCTTACCTAATCATATTGAACAGTGCAATAGCCTACCTGCCTCCCATCAGCACACATTCTATCCATCCCATTCTACAGTGGACTACTCACCGTGAACGTGATCTCAACCATCAACACATTTTCCTGGATCACATACACAAAGAAAGGCATCACAGACATCAGAATCGGTGCACATACCCATATCATCAAGGTGCTTGATCCATTGATCCTCCCATGTGAAGGACTTGATGAACTTCATCTATGTAGTGTGTTTCGTTTAATGAGCTTCGACACATAAGATGTCCTGACTGGTGCGACCATCGTGTACCTAGAAACTTATAGGTTCAGATGATATTGATAAGGCACATCAATACCTCTGCAATGGCACCCAATCCTCCAGGCATGAGCTCAATGTGATTAGGCTGCACACATGATCAGTGATCATCAATCATGCACTCACGATGAGAATGTGCCTTGATGGCACCTTCTTTCAGCAGACTGAGAAGCACCTTCAGTAAGCTCGACACATTAACCCAATCTCCTCACACACATACCTGATGCAAAGATCTTTACCACATGCTTCTGCTTCTCTGACTTGTTCTCAATCTTCAGCTGCAGCATGAGCAAGAGAGTTCCTCCCAGTGTGAGGATGTCATATGTCTCCTGCTGTGACTGTGAAAAGGAAATGATGTCAAAGATGAGCTCAAGCAGTGCAGAGGTGACCTTTACGATCTTGGCATGCAGAGAGGATGTGTCACAGATTTTCATCACAAAGTCTGCACGTAACTTTTCTCACACCACAGATCACGTGTTTCACCAATATCTCACACCACTCAGCCACAGACATGACATGTAGAGATCAGGTGATAGTCCACATCACATGTTATGGTTCAGGCTCGTGGATGATATGGTCAGACCTGTCTATTCCAGGATACAATAGAGGCACCCATTTGGGAACAAAGGGAACAAGGACTACTGTTTGGGATCATCTAGGCAATCAGCTCAAGGTATAGCCGTTACCACGATAGGATGGATCGTCTCACCATTGTTACAGATAAAGAAAGATCTTCTCACCTATTGTTCTACTTACGGATAGATCTTCCCACTTATTGTACTGTGTATGGTTTAGTTGCTTAGGTACATAGATAGCCAATAGCATGTATCGTAGTAGTCAGCATCTGTACACGTATATAAAACCAGCATGTAGAGGACAAAACCTCAGATTGTTTCTCCTCGTCTACCACTGTAGCATCCACTGAGCCTACCAGCTCCATCATACATATATCTTTCACCCTTCCATATGCTTGCTACCCAGCTAGTAAGTGTTAGGCTCTCAAGCCACTTTGGGGATCAGGGAGATCAGGGTGGCACGTTCCACATGACTGTTTCTTTTTAGTCTTTTTGATCTCTTGTCCAGCAGTGCTGTGACATTAGAAATAATCTGACAATTTTTGCACCCCTGCTTAGTGTCTAACACAAACAGCCACATATTTCAGCACAAGCAGTTTCAGCCATAGCACGTGGCTTTTTTGACATACATTCCAATCTGATCTCTACCAGACGTGAGCCTCAGCAAGACACTGAGCAGCTCAAGGCAGCAAAGTGCAAGCCACCCCTCGTATCGATCTCAATGTCCACTACAAGCATCAAGAAACCAACAAGGAGCATGGAAGGCTCCTCATACTTGCATTCCTAGGCACATCCTCCACAGATCGGCAGCGCGCAGCAGCCAGGGTAGTTGACACCACACACATCATATGGCACAGCATCATCCATCGACCTTGAAGTCACACCCCTCTGCTCAAACACTACAAGCCCAGATGAGGATGTCTTACCACTGGTGGTCGCAAGCCAGCACCACCTCTAAAACTAATCACATCCAATGCCATTCCCCCAGTCATTGTCACCCCACAGCCAATATGACCACTTCTTAACTTCATCAAGAAAGACACAGTTGCACGCCCCATACGCCCTCTCCCATCCAGAGTCAGATGGACTCTACACATCGAAACCCTTAAGAAGCAAGTATCTACTACTTGCTTCAGGCTCCAACCTTTAATAGGAGCCTTCTGAGAACAACTCAACAAGGATAAAAGAGGCAGGGTACAGCTCATATCATCAGAGTTAGAAAAGGTCTGCGCAGACCTCTATACAGAAACTCATGAATATACCTTCATTGAGAAGCAGGTAGTCAACATGGCCTGCCTAGAGATAGGCAGTATTAGCTTCAAGCAAATTGGGAAGCAGGAAAGGTTGGACGAGATTTTCGAGACACTAGCCAAGATCGCAGAAAAGAGATACTTCAATTTCTTGTACTAGTTATACTATCACACAATGTCAGAGACTGGTCACGCACACATGTCCACATTTGCACAGAGAATGGTGGACGTACTCCGACCAAACATTGAGACAGCACACGATGGAAGCACACCTCGTGCTTCCAGACAGGCATCACCAGAGCTTACCCCAGAAGACTCTGCATCACAACTCAGAGGACCATCATCCCTGACCCCATCACTCCTCCCTGCATACATACCTCCCACATGGTCATATGACAGACATGAATATAGACATCTTGAAGATGCCATCAGACAGTTTGCACCTGGCGAAATACCTGATAACATTCACAAATGGGTGATCATCGTCATGAAGTCAATGGTCGACAACGAGCTCAAGAAAATATACAATGTACTCGGTGACAAATTGTACAAGCACAAGAGAATTCTTGAGGCCTCCATCGCATTTGCTCAAACTGAGTGATGACTCAAAGAGGCAGTACTCAAGTCCGAGAATGAGAAACTCTCAGACAGAATTAAGGCTCAAGACACACACATGGTCATACTCAACGATGAAGTCACAGGAACCCAGGGGGCTATGATAGACATAGAGAAAGAGATGATAAAGATAAAAGCTGAAAACATCAAGTTACAGCATGAGGTAGCTTCACTCAAAGCAAGCGGCATCTCAATGGTGCAAGATCACACCTCTGGCATGGTCCAATCACACAAACTGCACATCAAGATAGCTGAGCCTCCACACTACTTGGGCAAAGGAAGTCTGGAGGACTGGCTCCAACAACTTGGCATCTGGATGCGGTGGAATGAGATCAACGATGATGAGCGAAAGATTACCATGGCACTACTGCACTTGGAAGGTGGCACATTCACCTACATATCAGAATACGCAACCAAGGCAGCAGCACGGCAATCACTCAGCACTTTGGAAGACTTCATCAACATTCTCAAAGTAAACTACAGGACCCTCGACCCGGACAAGGACACGCAACAGCACTTGAAGGAGATCTGCACAAAGACCTACCCCACGATGGTCTCCACAGAGAAGTTCCACCAATGGGCCACTAAGACCAACTTAGGGCACACTGCACTCATTGGCTACATTGCTGAACACCATGACAAGGACGTGCATCAAGCAATGGTGACACAAGGCAGCCTAGGTATCACCAACCTGACCACATGGCTGGAGTATCTCGACCTATGCCTCCAACTTGAGTCCAAGTTCAGAGCTGACAAGGCAGGATAACGTGGAACAATGGCAATGTCATCAACACCATGAGCCCCAAAGGACCCCAATGCCATGATTGTGGACCGAGTGTCCCAACTTACCAAGGAACAGAAAGGATGGCTGAAAAAGAAGCTTTGTGTATGTTGCAGGAAACACCCCTTCATATTCAAGCAGTGCTGCTCAGACCCCAAGTACAAAGGCAAATTCGAAATGCCAAAGCGGGGCCA